CGGGTGTGGGTGTTGTTGCGGACGTGTTCGAGGGATAGGGACAGACCCACACCCACACTCACACCCTCAAGAAACTATTATGATCAAGCATACAAACACATAACGGATGCACGACCACCACGCACTAAATATTCGACTGCAGTGCTTAACAACATAGTTGTTCTCTTACATGATCAAAGAAAATATAAGGAAGCTGAAGAATTTCATAGAAAAACACTCAAAATACGAGAAGAATTTCTACCTCCAGGTCATATCGATATCACATGCAGCCTGAACAATATAGGAAATATTCTGCACGAACAGGGAAAATTCGACGCTGCGTTAGAATATCATAGAAGAGCCTTGCAGATGCATGAAGATTTACGAATTTCAGAGCATCTTGATTGTGCAGTAGGTCTTAATAACATTAGCAACATCCTCACTAATCAAGGAAATTACAAAGAGGCATACGATTCTCATCAACAAGCACTCAGAATGCGCCAGAAAATTTTATCCTCTGAACATCCAGACATTGCGTGTAGTTATAATAACATCGGAGATGTTTTGCATAAACAAGGCAAATATAAAGAAGCCCATGAACACCACTTTCAGGCGCTTGAAATTCGAGAAAAATCTCTACCGGCAGATCATCCAAGAATCGCTAATAGTCTCAATAACATTGGCAGTGTTTTTGAAAGCCAAAAGAACTACACACGAGCTATTGATTATTATCAACGAGCGTTAGATATACGAGAAAAAGTCTTGCCGCCCATACACCCTGACATAGCACACAGCTTTAATAACATTGGTAACATTCTGAATAAACAAGGAAACTATGTAGAAGCTCTCGAGTACTATACAAAGGCACTTGAAACACAACAGAAATGTCTACCATCGAATCATCCTGATATTGCCGCCTGTTACAATAACATTGGTATTATATTAAAACATCAAGGAAATGAGAAAGCAATATTTACCTGAAAATCATATTGATATTGCTGATAGTCTTAATAGCATTGGCCTCATTCGACAGAAGCAAGAAAACTATGCTGAAGCTCTTGAACTTTTTCAGCAGTCACTTAAATTAAAAGAAATATATCTACCACAAGATCATCCTAGCATGGCTATAAATTATCATAATATAGCGAATATCTTACGCCTGCAAGAAAACTATACTAATTGTCTTGATTATTATGTACGAGCACATAAAATACGAGAATGTTACTTACCACCAAACGATACTGATATCGCTGATAGTCTCTACAATATTGGATTTACTTATGACCAGCTTAATCAACCGACACGTGCACTTGAACATTTGAAAAAAGCGGCTGACATCTATAAAGGCTTGCCAACCGAAATCTCAGCGTTTAATAAAATTCAATGTCATATTCAAAGGCTTCTGCCTGAAAAAAGTTCTACATGATTGTATAAATGACAGCAGTCATTTAAACTCGAACAAAAACTTTAATTTTTCGATCATCATTCTGTTTCAAAATAATAGTACATGAGATTTAAATTCAATTTCTAATAAACGGGAGAATGTAGAAGTTTTACAATCAAAATGTTTTATTCTATCATAATAAGGAAATTTTCGATATTATACGATCATTTTTAATCTTGAGGGTGTGGGTGTTCTCTAAATCCCAACCGACACTCACACCCTGTGTCATTTGCATTTGAACATCAATATGCTCTATATTGAAAGGATTCATAATCGAATAAAGCATAAGATTTTAGCTGTTAGACACCATATGTTATAATCGAGACTCCGTTATATACAAGGAAAAAAATAGTGCATACTTTCTTAAGGCGAATCAGATGAATTCAATGAGTTTCATAATCTCAATAATGGCATGTTTTGTAAAATTGATTTATTTTATGTATATCTTACTTTTACTTTCTTTGCAACTAAATAGTTCAAAGTTTCTTAGGTAACAATCATGAAAGCCTCTTTCGAACGCAAGTGATCAACCTTTTTTCATTGGAAAATACCTACGACTACGAGTACATCGGTCATACATCATTTTCAATAAAACAATCCTTTCCTAATTTATAAATAGAATTTAATGGTCACCAAAACACAATCAAATTCATCATCTTAGCTTTATAACTAAGAAAAGCAACAGTGGACTGATATTCAACTATTGTGTTCATCTTAGATTATATTTTTACATAAATATTACACAGCATTTTAACAGGTGATTTATCAATATCGAAACAACTGAGAAGACATTTTTCAAATCAACAAAAATATGTTTTTTTAGATAACTTTCTCGCTTTAAATGTAACTCAAACTCACTTCTCATCCCAATTTGGATTCGTTATTAATCATTTCTCTAATATAATACGCATGAAACAATGATTAAAATAAACCAATCACTACTTTCAGTCATCATATGTTCTATATGGATGATAACAATATGCACTCAACATATGATTGATATGCTTTTCTTACTCCCCTAGTGCATTGGTGTTTTTTTTCCGCATGACCTCTAATGACATAATTTTCAACATATACATATATGTATGATCTATTCCAAGAGTAAACATGAAATATTGAATCATTTATTCAGTTTGTTTTACAGAAAAACAACACAAAAAAACACAAGGATGATTGATAAATTTCAATGATCTTCAGCACACACACAGACGCACAAAAAAGAACATAATTGATTAATTTACTATTCTTCGATTTTGACCACGATTTTTCTATTGATGTTTAACAATATTTTAATAATTTCTTCAGCGTACAAACTTGAAGACAACAATCATAAATCAATGTATCATTAAATTCTAAAAGAAATCCAGAAAAAACCTTCATGTTTTTTTCGCAAAATGTGCTATTAACTTACGCGTATTGTCAATAATCGAAGTTGCATATGAATAAAGATTATCTTGCGTTTTTCTTGGTCTTTTCGTAGGTGATGATAATGTAGTTGTTATTCTATTTCGAACTAATATTTGTTCAGCTCTAGTACATACCGTATCCAGCAAATGAATCAAAGCTAGACCACACATTTTAATACTAGTTGGCTGGCGTATTTCTAACACTTTGAGTCGGCGATTATTTGTATTCTTTGCATTTATAAGTGATGTCATAAAAATAAGGATAATAGCAAATTTAAAAATTGATGATCGAAACATGTTGTTAATGAATGAAAGGAACAATTGTACTAGTAAAGATTCGAGCTAAGTTCATATTCAGTTGTTTTAATATCAACCATTGCTAACAAAGATAGATTTCGTTGATATAAGTACTGACTGAACAAAGCTCGTTTCACCTACTTAATGAATATTATAAAATAATAAACCTAGTCTTCTTTTTTTTCTTCTTATCGTTCTCTTTCTCCTTGCCTCCCTCTCTCTCTCTCTCTCTCTCTCCCCTTTTATCGAACAAAAATTATATAGAAAGAATAAATAAGCGTTTCATAATGCACGCATAGAGATTAAAAACTAATGTCTTTCTTTTTCCTTTTCATTCATTCATTCATTCATTCATTCATACATTAGAAGTTTTATCAGATGAACCATATGTTATCATTCAGCCCATATGGAAAAAAAACAAGAATTCCGTTGGTGAAAAAAATCTATCAATCATCCTATTATAAATCAATTCATAATAGAATGTACATATCTCACATATGGGTTCATTCAGTTGAGGCACAAACTTCTTCTTTCATGGATCTATGATAGTACAAATCGAGATCTCAATTGCAACGAAAAAGTTCTTTTGTGACAAAGAACTAAAACAAACCATAGAAAGCAATAGGACGATTGTATTTTCTTTTGATGTGAAAAAAACAGCTGCTATCAGCTGGAGTGAAAAGGAGAGCCCAATGAATATTTATTTTTCATGCGTGTATGATCAATAATAGATATTTAGTAGACGCATGTCTGTATGTATATAATATTGACGAGCCATATTGTGCAGTCATTTGTAACGATCAACATTTAAATTCGATAATGTTCAAGTGTTGAAAAATTACTTTGACGATTGATAGATGTGAAAATGAATTAGTACGTTTATCAATAAATCATCAATTGCTATCCGAAAACGATAACAAAGAAAATGAATATCATGAAAAGTAAACGTTAGTAAGAAACGCATTTGTTTAATGTGAATAACGATCTGTTGTATTAAGCTAAGTTACTATCAAAGCGAAATAGAGAAAAAAAATACTGAGAAATCAAGAATATATATATATATATATATATGTGTGAAATATCTGACAGATAAAGAAAATGTTTATTATCACAAATAAGCCGCCCAACCGATGAACATCTGACATAATAATTCATTGCTTGTTGCTTGCTAAAAAACAAGATCAAATAAGAAAAAAGATCACAGCTTGAAGTAACTTAACATACTTGAATCAAATGATCAACCTGTCCTTCAACTGATAATGGTAATACAACACGTTTTCCTGTTAATTCATCTGTACAATAGCCTCGTACACGTTCTAATATATTTCTCACATGTGTTTGGGCCTATTGAAATAAATTCTGCAATACAAAAAAAAAATTTGACACAGATCTTTCACCTACCTTCATATTCACAACTTCTCCACCTTCAATTTGTTGTTTTTTCATATTCGCAACTTCTTCTCGTGTTGCTGATTTCCATTCGACTAATGGATCATAGATAAATGTTTTCAATACTGATACAAGTAATTCACGTTCATCTCGTATTAAATGTAAAATAATTTCACATGTTTTACGAAATACACCTTCGACACCTAAAGTACCCATACCATCAACAACATTATGTGTTAAACGAAACGGAACCTTTTCCGGTATTTCAAATGTTAATCCTAATATAAAAACAGATGTAAACTGAGAATTTCGGTTTTGAATTATTTTTACCTTTATTAAATAAACAATTGAAATCAACGTGAACGGTTTCACCTGTACATGTATCAATGAGAATATTTTCACAATGTCGATCACCTAAACCCATTATATAACCAATCATTGACATAACAGCCGTTGAACGAACGAAATTCATTCGACTTATATACCAACGATTCGGATCAGGATAGGCAGCAAAAAAATATTGATGAAATACAGCTGGTTGATGAAAAGCTAACAGTTTGACGAAATCCTATTGGTTTTTAGAGAAAATAAAGCAATTAAAATTTATTTTTACAATAGAGAGCTTTTTTGTGTGTGTGTCATTTTATAGTTTTAAAGATCACGAGTTTTCCTGTTTCCGTTGATTACTATTTGAAATTCGCTGATAGCGAGATATTCTGTCTCGTCTACAAATTCTAAATTTTATATGCAGTCATAGAGCATATGTCTATGATTCTATATAGATGACTTACATTGAAACGAGCTTCTTTTGATTTATCTTTACTATTTCCATAAACTTTTATTTCTCGATTGGATACTTCCGAAAAATTTGAACTACGTTGACGATAGAATTTTGTTACTAATGAACGAAATGTACATAAATTAGGTAGCCATTCAATTAATCCACAACGTTCATTTATTGGATAAACAGCATAGGTACGAATATTCAATTGACGACGACGTGTTTCACTATTCTTTTTTAAACATTTATTAAATAAATGACAAAAATCTAGGCAACGTGAATCAACACGAAGATCATCTTGAGATTTACATAGAAATGGATATAATTGTCCATCACTACCACGTATAACAATTTTTTTTGGTCTTTGTAATGATGATAATACGTCAATCGTATCTTCGAAACCTTCGAAAAACGTGTTCAAAGATAATGAAAAAAAGTTGATCAATATCAACTTACTATGTATGGTGACAACAGCATCAGGAAATGGTTGATGTCGTGCATCGTAATAATTTTTTGGTGGCATTTTATTGATTCCCGTTGTTGTTAATCCAGCTTGTGCAGCTTTTTTATTCGCTGTTCTTCCTAATGCACCTTGTTTATTTACCATAGCTGACAATTTCACTGTTGATCCTGTAGGAAGATCATTGTTTGTTTGTTGTTGAAGGTGTGCTGATGTTGTCGATAGAGAAAATCTTACTGGTGGTGGTGGTAAACAAACTTGCATTTGTGATTGAATTGGTATTAGTATAGGACATGCTGATTGATTAGCATAGTAACGTTTGAACGATTTAAAATGTGCGGATAAACTTATCTTATTTTGTCCATAGGCAACAGCATGCATACATAATGTATCAAGTTGTTTGATGAGTATTGTGGCTTCAACGACAAAATCATGTAAGCCAGGCTCAATATTTGAAGCTTCATTCCAAATAGCAATACAACGATCACGTCGCATACTATTCGATGAACCATACAAATTAATCATCATCCATAATGTTTGTTGAGGAAAAGCAGCAAATACTTGTGTTATTATTGCATTTAAAGCTTTCGATGTCATATCTTCACTATGACATATACGTGAAACCATATAGGGAAAAGCAGCTAGAAATAGATAAGGTGGTATACGTGTCGTCCATGATGAAACTTCACGAGTGATTTCAGACAATTTTGCATGGCCATGTTGTTTAATTTGTGCAGCATCAGGTAAATTAGTTGTTGGAGCTGTTGATGGTTGTTGCTTGCGTGTGGTTGCTGTTGGTGCTGGAACAGGTTTAATGAACGGTGCAAGATCAGAGGCAAAATCAAGCCACATCGTTAATAAACGTGTTAATGATTGATAAATAAAATCACAGCCATATTTCAGTGAACGACAATAGGTATTGACAGCTAAACGAATATATTCCATCATACGTAATTTATTTTCTAACGAAAGTCCTGTAGACGATAGAAAATTATTTGTTGTTGTTGTTGAATTAGAATTTGATGATGTTGGATCAGATTCGATACACGATGAAAGTAATGTATCGTAAAATTGTGCTAAATAAAAATGTGTTTCTTCCCAATGTGGCGCTGCTTCTTGAGATTGTTTATACATTTCAAAAACAGCTTCATGAGGAGAATTTTGTTCACTATAACGAGCTAATAATAACCATACTTGTGCTTTCAAATCAGCTGAAACTGAAAACAAAGAGAAAAATCACATTCTAATTTCTTGAAGATGATGTTCAAACTAGCGTAGAATTAAGAGAATAGGAATATATTGATTTCTTAAGCATCATTTGGCGAAGGGCTCGTTTAGTAAATAACTAGAACTGACTATTTTAGTTCAAAGTGAAGATTCGACATTTATGACGTTAAGCATCAAATTATCTCCAAAACAAAACAGAATTGCTTTTAAAACCACGGCATAGAAGGAAGCATTGGACCTCTATAAACAAAAGTGGCATCAAAATTCTTAGATTGAATTATGAATAACAGTGCAAAATATTTCACAAGAGAAGTCTGCGTCATCGAACTTTAAAATCGAACCTTGTAATCGATTTTCATTAAGATTTCCTTCATTGATTGTCTTTGATTCCAGTAATTCAATTTTCTTCTGTTTTAAACTCATAATAGCTCGATCTTTTTCTCCTTTATCCCACATCCATTGTGCACGTTCAATTGCTACTTCAATTGGATGTGATTGATTTGCTTTCATTAAAGATCCAATAGCTGCCAATGAATTATTTTGTGCACGTGCTATACGAGCACTATGTAGCCAGCATTCACCAATTTCTAATGCATGCTGTTTACTATGATCGATATCATCCAACAGAAGAAGAGTCCGTCGTAATGCTAATGATGGCTCAATAAATTTACTATTTGGTGGTAATAAAGCGTGTCGTTGTGACCATACATCATCAATACTATCATTATCAATAATCATAATCGAATGATCGTTGTGAAAGATATTTTTTACAATATAATATTCAAGATCTTTGAGGAGATGTAATTTAGCTAGATAATCGTATGCACGTTGATATGAGCCAACTTCCATACTAGCTGCTGATATGGGTCCCATTAATGAATTTAATGCTAGACGAAATTCAGAATAGAATTCTTCTCGGTTTTGTTTTTTGGCTTGACATAAAATTTTGCCGACGTATTCTTCGAATTGTTTTGAAACATTTAAATCATGTAAAATATTCATTTTTGAACTTTCATTTCGTTGTTCATTGTGACTTAAATCAATATTTTCTTTTTGATGAGAACAGAATTTTTCTAATAAATTCCATTTTGATAATTTCCATGCCGCTTCAATACGTAAAGGATTTAACATATTCGTCCATGTTGGATATTGAACAATAATGCCAGTTGCTTGATCAATTGTATGTTGAAATTGTTGTTGAGTTAATAAATTATTTAAATAACCTAAATATAAATGTAGATTTGCTTGATTTAATTCGTTCATTTCGAGGACGTTTTCATATGCAACAATAGCTTCATCAATTTGTCCAGTTAATTCATAGGATAAAATTTCTTCGTACATATCTGTTCGCGTATGATCGGATTGTTTTGGCTTCATATCGCGTATAGCGATTATACCATAAGCAGAATCTTGATCATTTAAACGATGAAATAATTTTAAAAGAAATTCACTATTGTGTGTAATATTGATTTGCTGTTCAATTGATGAATACATTTCAAAATGGCGATAGGCACGTGTATAATGATCATATTTGAATGCAATACGAGCCAGTGAAAGATCAGTATGTAGCAAACGGATATAGTCACGTATTCGTGTTATGCCTAAATTATTCCAAGTACCATCATGAATATTTAATGGGTCAGGATTTAATTGCTGAGGAACTTGCTGTTGCTGTGCAAGCTGTGCAGGCTGTCGTTTACGTTGATTTACTTGTTTCGCTTGTTCATTTGGATCTATATTGTTTAATGATGAGAATAGAAGAAGGAAATCGATTAACGTAAATATGCTTTGACCAATTTGATGGAGAACATCAGACGACGGATTTATTTCATTGGTGTCATATTGATTACTATAGAAAATTAATGCTTTAATTTCTCTATCTAATACATCTTGACCAAGATTTTCACCAATTAAATGAAGTATTACATAGGGCAATAAAAATGAGCCAATAGAGCTATTAAAAAAAAAGAAAAGGAAACTTTGTAATGACCATTTTAAATTGTTACATATTCAAATACGAATTATAAATAAAGAATTTTCTTTATGTAATTCAAAAATCAGAGAGAAAATTGCTCAGCAGAACCCCTGTATAGAACCCAATATAATTTGCATTGCTAATCGTGCGAGACACTTTGAGGTACATTTATTCATCATCTACAAAAAAAATGGAATACGGAAGTCATTTCTATATTAGCAGAGAAAATAATTGTGGTGCCCCGACGACTGTGTCAGAAGCGCGAATTTGTTGTATCCCATTTTCTTCAACACTGTTATGATATGAAATTTCATCGTGTAACAAAATGCAGAGATTCTGCATTTTAAACATTGACGTTAACTATCTCAATGACGGTATACATCGATACCAATTCCATATAAAAATTTCGCTCAAATAAAACTGCAAAACTCTTAAGTTTTGTTTTTAAAATTTTTCGATCCAATCAACGAATTGATACAATGTTGAGTTTGACACTTTTGTAATTAGTATCTGCTTAAACTGACCTATTAAATCGAACAGCAAATAAACAAGAATGAAATAAATGATAATAATTATTATTTGGTAAATGTTGAATTAAATAAGGTACATATTGTGTTAACCATTGTTCGTATGTTTTTACAGTTAACTGTTTTAAAATTGCTTCTTGTGATCGACTCGTCTTTAAATTTGTTTCATCGGTTAAAACATACTTTGATGTACGTAACGGTTTAAATAAATCTTGTTGTTCTTGATTTAATTTTGCCCATAATTCTTGATTAACTTTAACTTTTTCATTATCATCCGATAGATTTAAATTATAAAATTTCAAACATTCTTGTATTGCATAGGATATTGTATCTTGTTGTCGTACTTGATCAGCAGCAAGAAAAGCTCGTGTTAATTCAGCGAATAATTCTAATGCAAATTCTTGTGAATATAACTTAAAATAGCAACGTTTTAAATCATCAGTATTAATTTCGGAATTCGAATTCGATAATAAACGATTAATTAATGATGTTGATGTTGCTATTTTCGAATACAATTTACGAAATTCTATTCGTCCAGGATCAATAGCTCCAATTTCTCCAAGAGAATTAATCGCAATAAAACGTATATTCTGATTTGTATCATTACACCGTTCAAGCAATGTTAATATAAGACGAGTTATTATTGGCGGAACGGTATCACGTGATAAACACATCTGTAACAAATATGGACGATTAGTTTTTAATAGATTTTCTAAGCTATTTAATGCATGTAAACGTATATCGACCATGTCAAAGTTTAGCAGTGTGATAAGACGTTGAAATTTATTTTCTAATAATGTACGTTCATCGTTTTTAACTTTGGTTTGATTATCAGTAACTTCTGTTGTATGCAGTTTTTTACATTTATTTAACTTAGTTCGAATGTTGTCCATTTGATTTAATTGTGGAATAAGCAATAAATCGTCAGCGATAGCAGCTATTTGACTATTTGAAATATTACTCAACATAAGGAGTACTAGTTCTTCAAAATGTTCAAAATTAATTTCATGAAATGGTAATAATGATGCAATCAGTTGTAACATCATTGACGAAAGAATGTCAACATTCGTACTGAGATGGTGAATGAATTGTTTCCAAAGATTAAATACTATTAAACTTAATTCAGACGAACATTGAAGAGCGAGACGAAGCGACCGAAGAAGTTTTACACGTGTTGCAACGATTTGAGATGGTTCTAGGGAAGACAGAAAAACAAGTCAAAACATTGAGTAAATTTTGACCTATCCAGAAGGTTCAATTTTTGTATTTTGTGCGATAGTGGAAAGGTATTTTCCTATGAAAATGTCAATCCAACTGATCATGACTCATACGTTCAGGGAGTATAAGAGCTTAAAATTAGATTGTTCTTGGCTGGAGTTACTCATAATTGCAGGGTAGACTTTAAGTTATTGTATCTACGTTAATTTCAAAACATAAGTTACCCGAAATGCCAGTCTATTCTTCTTTTCTCTTGTAATCTATTGATGAAAATTATTCGATTCATCGATATCAAAGCTTTCGATGAGACTAATAGACTTGTTTTCTTTAACATTCAGTTCTATTTATGGGTCCAAAAATTTAACGAGTCTCTCTCTGTCAAGTGTTAAAGCTATTTTTCACGGACTATGACTTACCCATAATTTTCAATACTTCTGTTAAACTTAATAGTACTCGTTTTTTCGAATGTAACGGTGTACTATTCGATAATAATTCGGTTTCAAAATCACATAAAATTCCTAATAATTTCGATTGCAATGCCTTATTAACATGTTCTACTTTGACAACATTTGAATAATCTTTTTCTACTGTCAACAATATTCCATCTAATATACCGACAGCCATCTGTAAACCTTTCATAACATGTTCCGGATGTGTACTAATGTAAAGTAACAATTTACTAAATATAGGTGGGCCACCAAAACGAAAAACAGCAGCTAAATCAGCACCAGCTTCTTGTTCAATAAATTCATTAACTTCATAAACACGACTAATCGCATAATCTCCATTGGGATTTTGACTATTTTCCAGTCGTACATGTCTCCATACATGTGAATAAATAGCTGGAAATGCATCGAAAATAACTTTTTTCTTCGACATTTTTACAGCTGTTCGAATATGTTGCACAACTCGACTTGCATTTAATGAACGTTCCTCGACAATCCACGGTAATAAATCAGGTAGAATACGTTTTAAATATGTATTAAACGAACTTCCATTTTGTTGCATCATACTAAATAATAAATGCAAATGACGTAGACAAATATCCGATGGTTGTTCAGAATTCAGTAATAATGATTGTGCTATAAGACGATATAAACTATCTGTATGTTGTTGTACAATAGATGTTAAATCAATTTTTTCATTCATCGTTACAAGATTTTTATTTTTAGTTAATTTAATATTATTATTGTGATTTTGTAAATATTCATCTTTGGCTATGTTCATTAATTCGATTTGTGATGTATGTTGAAATGATGTTGCTAAACCATTGATTAAAATAAATAGAACAAAAACAAATATATCTTCGTTGCATGTACGACGAGCAATTAAACCGCATAGATGTATTAAACGACTGTAATCATCATCGTGATGATTTGTTGTTTGTCGAATAGCATCGTTATTTAATTGTGTTAATGTATCGAATAGAAATTGATCAAGATTATCATTGACTGAATTTTCCCATTGCCGATTATGAGAAATTAAAATGGTCTTAAATAGATATGGCATGATAGACAATAGACATAGGCGTTCTTGATTATTTTGATTGAGATAAGTATTAAATAGATGTTTCAATTGAAGAAAATTTTCATCATGATCATTGGCAGGGCGAATAAACGATGGATGAGAATCGAACGTTTGAAAAAATTCAACGAGACCAACATAATTACATGGAATTGATGTTTGAGTAAATAAATAAAATATGGGAAGTATATTTGATAGAGAAAATGATGTTGAATTCGTACAAGTTGTTGATGATCGACTACGAATGTAAACATTGTTTTCGAGTGATGAACATGATGTACAAAGAAGTTCGAATGAATCGATAATTGATTGATTAAAATGATTGTGAATCTAAAGAATATTGAATTCTAGATGAATGCTCCACTAAATCTATGCAAGTAAAACATTCATAACTCTAGCAATTGGTTTCTCATGTGGATGTGGGAAAAGTAATGTTTTGAAATTCTTGATTTCCTGAATGTTATCAAAGACTATCGATTGCAGTGATCGTCATACATTAATAACAGTTCATTCTAATCTATTCATGACGCATTTAATGTATTTCCGAAGGATTACATAAGAAGAAATATGCCTGAAAATAAATAGTGTACAACAATTTCTATGTGACTATTTTCGTATGTTTAAGCACTCGCATGACTGATGTAACTCGGAGTTTCATGCTACACGTTTCTGTTGGCATTACTTTAATTTTAACAGTATTTGCATTAATATCAAATAAACATCGATGCATACGCCAAACATTCATCACTATCGGTTTAAATCGATCATCAATATCTTTAGAACAGTATTTCGTATAAAATGTTGGCAGAAACGATGTTGTTTGTAAATTATATTGCATGAATGGTAATACTTTGAGTGCCATTAATTGTGTATTCGTATCCTTGTCATTAAGGCACGAAGAAAATATATGAAGGCGAAGTCTAGGATAAAATTGTGCATCAAATAATGCTAAACATTTTAAAGATATTAATCGATCATGTTGATTGAATTTCGATTGAAACGTTTGAGCAAGCTGTTTAGTTATTTTACATGTGTTTGTTGTCGGTTGAAAATCGTGCCAGTCAGTAAGAGACGACAACCAAGAGAGACATAATATCGATAGTGTATCTTCACGTAAACGTATATCTAACTCATCTAAACAGATTCAAATTTTATTTATTGTAAGCAATGCCAAAATAAAGCGAATGCAAGTAACTATTGACCTAAGATTTTCGGCATTAAAAACGTGAACGGGAACGAATATGAGAATCGATCATACATATTTTCGATAAAGATTTCGACGAGTCTCTGCAGATCGAAGCAACATACCTAATTTTTGAACTTACGTCGTCAACATATGAAGAATTCTAGTGAATTTCAATCACTTTTAGGTCAAATCAGCACTGAAGTAGGTGTATTGAACTGCTTGAGTCCTGATCGAATTTTATACAAGCAAAGGTCAGAAATTTGAAATCACGTTTCTTTCAAGAACACATAAATGGAAAGGAGATGTTGCTGATATTCGACAATCATATTTTACATTAAAAGTATTTGAACGCAGAAGTTCACATTTTTAAAATCTACGAAAATTTAGTTACCCCAATATGCAGCATTTACTGAAAATTCTCACGAATACAACGGGCTCTCTGTTCTTCAAATATTCTCTCATAATCATTCATATTATTCTCCTGCATAGAAATACATACCAGAGATATAAATTGATGTTGCAACTATTGTAGCTAAAACGTATTCATAAGCAATAGAAAATAATCCAACAGTAACACTATTAACAAGATAAACCAGTGTACTGACGAGATAACCATAAATCGAACTGATTTCATCGATAGTTAACCAAGATAAATAAAAATCATTTTCTTCTATGGATCCTAATTTAATCTGACGTACTTGACATCCGATATATGCTTGGCAAACAGACGTTATTAAAAAATAAACATTAAAAATACGTTGCAAAGCATCCTATTTTAATTCAATAAATTCCTTAGATTATTATAGAACAAAAGAAAAACAAATCAAACCTCTTCATTATTGAATGCACTTTTTTCAAGTGCCATTTTCAAATGTTGCCATATAGTTTTTAACAATCGTATTCGTCGTATACTAATTTAAATGATAAAACATAAGATAGTTTTTAATTATTCAATTTCAGAGCTAAAACATTTTTTTAATATTCAAAGTACGCATTCACGCATCGACGACCGATCTTCGTGAGAGGAAATTACAAATAATATCAGCTAGGACATGTATCCGAATTTGTAAGGCTCTTCTTATGGATACTTCAAACTGTTGAAAAACGTGTATTCCTCATAGGGCTACTAAATTTTATTTTTGAACATACCGAAATGGTACTTGCGAATTTCGACTTTTTTCTTGTATCAACCAAATAATAACTTTTCCTAATGCATGATTCAAATACTAAAAAAAAAACAATAATAATAATTAAATCAAGAAATGAAAAAAATCCAAGGAATGTTTACTTTTGCTAATAGACATTCATCAATGTTTGCCAATAAATGTTCAACTATTTCAAATGCATGTATAACTAATAATGAGCTAGTGCCAATATCTTGTTGTCCACATTCAAATAAAATTGATAACCATATACAAAATTGTTCTAGATAAATTTCTGTTTGAACTTCACCAAAATATCTTAATGGCCTATTATTCATGTGAAATTCAACATCTGCTTTACTTGCTATACTGACATGAATGAGTAAATCTTTTAAACGAGGTATAACAAAGCCAATATGTTCAGCAAAAAACACGATTGCTTCATCGTGATTTTGACATACGGTTTTAAGAAAATGAGAAAAATCATTTTCCAACTGAACAGAATGTCTAAAATGGAAAAAAACATAGTTTTTCAGGAGTTTTCAGGCAATGGTGCAGTAGAAAAAAAATGTACAGTTTCACAATAAATCATTTTGGATTGATAGGGAAAAATTTTATCAAAACTTCAAAATTACTGATTCCGTTCCAATTTTTTTATTTACTCATCAAAATGATAGTTTTACATTCTAGGGAATAGATTCTCTGAAATTCGAAAGGCTTCCGAGGCACTATTACAAGGTCAATGATCGGAAACATTCGAACTGCAATTTAACTCTAAAGCACGCCTACGACTATTAGCTTCTTTCTCGGATAAGGACGAACATGCATTTATATTTCTCAAGACTAGCTATTGTTTCATGCATGTCTAGAAAATAGGGCGACAATAGAAATCTGATTCGAAAAAGAAACAAGGAAATTTACTTTGGTTCTGTATGAATAAAATTCATAATTGATAAAAGAATATCTGAGCTTGAAAAATGAACATAGGGTTTTAAATCACCAATCAATAATCCCAATGAACGATTTTGAATAAAATTTGAAAAAAATGAAAATGTGGCCTATATGAAAAAAAAATGAAAACATTATTTGTTTAAAGTGAGAATAGTTGAATTTCATAGACAAACCGATTTCACATGTATATCAGCAGTACGTAACAATTCACATAATGTTCCAATTAAAGTCGAAATTGTTTGCCGATCAAGTAATGTCGACAATGTACTCGACAAATGTCGAAGTACTGCACTGTTAAATAGAAAGTATTTAGTTAATCAAATTTCTCTCTATGAAATATTATTTACATAAGATTTATTTGAAAGCTACTAATATCATCGGAACAGTTAAATTCAATAACACATCGTTCTATGGTAACATTTGTTGAAAATGATGAAGCAACTTGCTCAGGTACAAGAAAACGATGAAGTTGTTTCGGTTGATGAATTTCTTCTTCGATAAATTCAATATCATATTTGATTGTATCTATTTTTTTAATTAAATTTATTTGAAAAGAAAAAAATCCGATAAACAAACCATTTAGAGTATCGATCAGTTCATTGGTAAATATTCGAAAGAGAACAGGCCAACGTAGTGATAATTCACCATAGAGATTCGCCAGTACAGCAATCGTATTTTCCTGTATTGAAGTGAATTTTTTTGATGATAGTGTCCAAACAAGTAATGAGACTATATAAACGTCGAAATCTAAATTTAAACATACAACAATATTAACAAACAAAGAGAATTTCGACAAAATTATACAATAAGAATTTGTTATTCGAATATCTTCAAGTGTCTGTTGTTTATCAGCATCTGTAACGAATACACTCGGTGTATTGATAACAATTTGATTGATTGAATTGAAAAATTTTTCTTGTTGAACATCGGTTACTCGAGTAAGACTTCGAAAAAAGGATGATAAAAAATGGCACATTGTATTACGGCCAAAGTCCACATTATCAGTCGATGGGACAGAATTAGACGAGCTGAAAGAAAAAAAGTAAGTAAAATCACGTGCAAAATCAATCATACTACTATTGCCGATGTCAACATGTAACGCAAATCGAGTCCTTCTTGTTATGAGTCATATCGAAAATTCTGCTATAACCAATTTGGTCTGTTGTCACTCGAGATGTCAATCAAACATTTCTGAAATAAATGCTACAATCAACTATGAACGTCAATCTTAATAGTCTGTAGGGAAAACGTTTTTTTGTTTTATCAAAATCATTGAAATCAATCGATCGAATATGAATTTAAGATATTTGACTAATTGAAGTCGACTGGTAGCGTCTAGTTTTTGTTTTCAATAGGATCGTATGTCACAAAGATGTTCCTACATAACCTATTTTGACTAAATATTTTCAAAGATGTAATTAGCATCGAAAACATCTGAGAGAGAAGTTTGCGCTAAAAACCTGACCAACGTAATCATTCAAAAGTCAGAGTGAATTTTATTCGCGATACATTTCCGGTTCAAATAGCAATGTTTCAATCTATTTCATTTGCTACGTACATCGTATTTTCCTGCAATAAAGTAATTATATAGTATAGAATGCGCATTGAAGTAGAACTACTTTTAATGTTGATACCCATCGAACCATCTCGAAAATCTCTCTTTAAATCATCTTCATATCAGTCTTGATTTCCTACCATAGATACTTTTTTTCTCATCGCGAATTCTATCACATTTGAAATTCATGCAAAATCCCTTTTTAAATGTTTTATGTCAAATGATGTGTGTACAACGCTGAGTTTTTTTTTTCATTTCGTGTTTTTAACCGATCGGTTTTATTTCTCAATTACACGTACTTGTTGTTTGCATTGATTTCCGCTGTTGCCATATTTATCCAACAGGGGGGGAATTGATTTCTAAAGCAAAAAACAAAAGCATCTATGTTCACCATTTATCTTCTCTGTGGTTTTACGAGTTTTTTTTAAATTGTATCCTGTAAAACAAAGAGATTTCTTTTTTTCCTTGTGAAAAAATGTTTTTTTTTCTTAAGTACTAATCGAGTTCGAAAATACACATGGAACGAATACATACAGACACACACATCCACAACAAACGAACGAAAAAGAAAAACAATAGAGACAAGATACGAAGAACACAAACATCTTTTCTTTGCAACAAACAAAAAAGAGAATAATCATCGAACTTTTATATATGAACAAATGTTTCTTTTGTTTTTTTTAACTTGGAAGAGAATGTTCCATGACAATCATATTGATCGTAATCCAAATACATAGTATTCTTTTTTTTCTCTCTCTATTCCAAATTAAATGGACTCAAGAAAACAAAAACGTATCAATCTATATTTATATATTTATATCTATCTATATATATATATATATATATGCATAAATAATGTGTGAACGAATCAACTTGTACTGTTCATAGGCGTATTTGTGGCTGTTGAATCTGATATTGTTGTTGAAGATGCATTATTGGCACTAGCTTGTTGAATTAATTCAGCTAGTTTAACTTTATCGACTGATGTTGAGCCGAGTAATGCTTGTGCCACTTCTGGAATAATATGAATTGTGATCATAGGCATATTTGATGAGGATGAACCATCTGTTGTTAATGTAGGTGTTATTCGTGTCAACGGAGCAATAGCGATTAAATCTTGAGCATTTGTAAAATTAATAGTAACACGCTTACTGTTACCACTATTATTGTTTGAATCTAATAATGTTGTTGTTGAAATTGTTTTTATATCGGATTTTGTAATGTTTAGAGTATGCATAGGTGTTGATGTGGTTGCCATGGGTAAGCGTACTTTTTTCGTGCACGGATGACGATGTAATAATATTTCTAATTGGTTTTTTTGATCATTTAATGTTTGAACAGTATGTTCAAGAGATTTTTGTTGTTCCAATAATTGTTCTTCAACCTATAATGAATAAATAATCATTTGAAAAATGACATACGAATTATTTTTATTCGAAACAAATCACCTTTTCTAATTCTTCGCGGAGGTCATTTCGTTTTCGTCGGCATTTAGCAGCAGCTTGTTTGTTTCTATCTCGACGTTGTCTACGTTTTACGTCTTCATCAGGTGGAAGCTATAAGAGAGAAAAGTAAAATTTTCATTTTTTTCTAAATTTCTTATCGAGAAATAGAAAATTGAATTCTACTAACTGGTTCATCTTTACTTTTTCGTCCATTGGCAAGTGTGGGCGCAATACTTTTTCTAGGTTTAACCACAATTGGACCATATTGTATTGGTTCAACTGTTTGTTGCCTATGTTTTTTTGATGTTGAAATCGATTTATTTGATTTACCTCGTGTTGATTTCGTGCGAGGTTTCGAATCATTTTGTGATTGATTATATTCGTCGGTTGACATTGATGTATCATCATCGTCATCTTCATCACCAACTAACATTTCATCATGCTTCGTTGGAGTAAGTTTAGCTTGATTTGCCAAAGACATTGCTGTTGGTACACCACGAGGTGTTGTATAATCGGCCAATGCTAATATTGGTAAAGCTGTGGGACTTGGAACACTAATGACATTCTTTAGAAGACAAAAGAGAAAAATGAATTTTATAATAAAAATATTAGGAATTTGCTTTTTTTTTGTTACGTACTAATTGTTTGACAGTTGTTGTTGCTCTCTGTCGTCCAGTAGCCATTGAAACAAGAGTGTTTGCAACTTCAGCAGCTGTATTTTCAGTATGAATATGTGTGATGGAATTATTTGAAACTAGTACTGTTGGGGAACCCGATAGATCTTGTGTTTGAACACTCTTTTCTGCGGTTTGTTGTTGTGTTGACATTTTAAAAAGAGTCGGTGTAAATGTTTGTGTCTTCGATCTGAATTACGTAACGAAAGTAAGAAAGAATAAATTAATAAATAAATAAAAACATGATAGTAATTGAAATATGATATTGATTTTTTTTATTTCTCTTCTGAGAAAGTACCAGATGGTGGAATGAAAGCAAGATTTGCAGATTGAAGACGTACATGGAAAAAAATCTCGTTCAAAGTTATGTAGAGGAAGATCAAACAGAAGAAGAAAAAAGAGAGTTTTGCATCGCACGAGGTACTGACATTAGTCAGTCTGCTTACCGCCCGTTGAATCAGCGTCGCATCATCAGAACGCAAAGTACTTTAATCAGAAAATCGCTAAATAGAGTTATAGTTGTGCATATAGTCTATACTCCCTTAACAACACACACACACACACACACACACACACACATGCCGCATACTCATCAATCGTTTTTGCAATTGCTTCGTCTTTGCGCCCCTGATTGTTCTCTCACTCAGCTGCCGAGGAAGCGCAAAAAAGGAACGAAGGAGAAAAATACGTTTGGAGGACGATGACGCATGAATTTTTCTATTCGTCTCATTTTTACGTTACACGTTCTTTTCCTAGTTGCTGTAGATGATGATTAATGACGCACACGCATCATAAAAAAACACAGGACAAACAAAACTTGATGACAAAATCTGCGTCAGATCTTATACGTGAATATGTAGGGGCGTTATTGTCATGTTTGCTCTATGATTCATATTAAATATGAGAAAAAAAAATCTTTCTTAAATAATAATCAAACTTGTGCAGTAACGTGAAAAAGACTGTATAGAAATATCATGAATCAGAAAATAAATGTACTCTATCTACATTCTCAATCGTTTTTATACAAATAATTATATTCTATATTTAAAAATGAGTCAAGAAAAGAGTTACGTTTTTACTTCTTTTATATTAAAGCTATCAGATAATCGTTCAAAAAAAAAAAGAAGCATACCTATCTTGCACAACACTGAATACAACGTTTCGTCGTTCCATTGCCGTTAATTTTTTTCCATTTATTAAAATCTGAAACAGATTAAATCCGTCGAAATAAAAATTAAGGTACTGGAGTTAAATTAATTGATAAGAAACAAGCTTTTGTTTTCAATGTTTTAAGTTCAAGGTCATTTTCTATAAGCATTGAATTTCAATCAGATTAGGGTTACACCTGGTTGTTTTATTCATAGAAACTAAAAAGAAAAATAATTTAAGAAACTTTATTATTCAAAATTTAATAATTTTCTCTATTATACTCGACCTGGTTATTTTTTCGGGAACAAAAACAATATAGGACATTTTAATTTTAGTACCTTTTTTGTCAATATGATATTATGTATGTCGCAAGTACATTTTAATGATTAAGCGAAAAAACGAAATTATTTATATCGTCGGATATAAATCATTAATTCAATTCAGTCGATATTATTGACAGTATCATAAAGACAAGTTCAAAATCAGTTTTTTATGAGAATTTGTAGTTATCCTAACATGTGTGTGTATTCGAAATAAAACAGTGATCGCTCTCCTAAAATATCATACATTTCATTCGTCATTTGTATATACATATATCGGTAAGTGACATCGTCTAGACAATAGGCGTAATGATATGTTTATTTAAGTTTTTAAAATGACCGATTTATAATTAACAACTATTAGATTCGTTCGTGAATTGAATTCAGAAATTCAAAATTTTATTACACGTCTCTCAACTCGATAAAATATTTTACTATTTGTAAAATATTTTTGATATGATGAAATTTCATGTAAAACTTCCTCAATGGTTTCATTCAAACGATTCAATCTACTAGAAATAACTATATTCTCATTAAATAGACTAAACTAAACTTACCTATATTAATGTTTGTATATACATAAATAATGACATGAACATTCTCAATAATCAAACTTAAAAGAAAATCTAAAATTAGAAACAATGTAACTAGTTAACAATCACTTGATATCACTGTAGCATATATATGTATATCAAAAAAAGAAAAGAAATGAAAAGAAAAAGATGAACTTTTGCTAACATAACAAACAACATCCACAACATTGGACTATATCGAACAGATGATAAATAGGAGGAAAAAAAATAATATCTATATACATATGTCATTCATCATTGGCTGTCAATGGTGTTGAGATCATCGTCGTTGCTGTCGTATCATTATTATTATTATCATTATTATTTCGTAATTCGTATGATTTAACAAGTTGAAATAGTGCTCCTGCTTCTTTTATGTGACGAAAATTAATACAAAAACCTTGAATATCCAAGAAAAGATCTCTTATGTCAATCACTTTATTACGTATTAACGATTGAATAAAAACGCTAACAAGACGTACGAAACGATTTTGTAAATATTTATCTTTGGTTTCTTCGCAGGTTTTTATACATGTTGATATATATAAATGAAGAAATTCTTGTGGTAATTCCATTGACGTTGACAAACGATTAACAACTTCCATAGAATGCAAGCTCATATTCATATTGAGTAATGATGATAAATATTCAGTCATTTGATTTGATGCAATTAATTTCAATAAACATTGTATACTTATTAGTGGACTATTTTCAACTAAGATTGGTAATTTTGATGGTACAAGACCAATATGATAAACAACATTTGGATCGTTATCAAGTTCATCTAATAATTTTTGTTGCTGCTGTAAATTTAATGCACCTTGATAAGCTTTATCCATTAACTGACGAATTTCATAGTTGATTGTATTTGAAATACACAGCGTCGAATCCCAGGTAAATAATGATGGATCGTAATCAATAGGCGATAACCAAACTAATTCATCTATAGTACATTCATGTAATGGGGGAACAAGACGAAGAAATTCCGGATGGATGGTTTGTTCCATTGCATTATTTGACAATAAGCGTTCAATGGTTTGCCGACTATCATTTGAACGATGCCGTGGACCACCGATGAGTGTGTCGAATCCATACTAGAAAATTAGAAAAAGAAGATTGTCTGAAAATTGTTTCTTATGTATGATGAAGAACTGAGAACTTTTAGATTTTATTTCTTAATGATAACAACGAACACATATTTATTAAAAAAAGATTTCATTAACAGAAACAATTTCCTATTGTCAGCTTTTAAAGAAACGTCTGCACGAATATGTTAGATTTTATGTTGAATTTCCCTCTCATATAAGCAGATAGTTTTCTGAAAATAGCTTGGCATTATATTATTCTAGTAAACAAAGTTTTACTCTCAAACTCTAATAGCTATGTGTAATGATTGAAGTAGAATAATAATAGTTCATTAAAAGATTGACTAGTCAACTTATTTTAGTGATGCTAATCATTGCATAGAGATAATCGAGAAGAAAATAGCTACTAGATTTGAATTACATTTTTGTAGAAATTTAGAGAATAGCTTGAAACAGACGGTTACAGTACACTTGAATATCATGTAATTATATGGTAGGAATAGAAATTTTTGACACGCATGAAGAATAGTTCATTTTGTGTGTTCAAGTCTTAAAAAACTAATCTTAAACTAAGAAGACACCTCTATTTTCCTTCCATTTAATAGAACTCCTGTTTATTTATAAGGTATTAATTAAGTAAATAAGACGAATAATCTCTTTCGAAAGATTAATAACATACATAATTAACTTCTGGATCATCAATGACAGCCGGTAAATGACATTGAACAAGAACAGGTAACTGTTGTAAACGTTCTTGGATTTTTTCTTTCAGCTCATCTTTTCCACTATCATCTTTCGTTGTTGGTAAACCTGTTTGTAAAATTTGATTGGGCGTTTTTTTTAAAAATTCTTTAGTATTATTATTAGTATTTATTAATGTTTTAACAAACCAACGTTCATGTTGCGTTACAGGTGATATAAACCAATGGAAATGTTTTTGTGTTGATAAATTTTCTCCATTATTATTTTGTAGTATCGATATAAATACCGGTGCAAATGGATTCATATGTATTGATTGTAACTCGCTTTTATACATATCATTAAATAGGAAAAGTATTATGAGACGTTGCTGTGGTGTTGGAATAAGATCACGATTTTGTAATAGAAGAACAAGAGCATTGCCTACACGCAAATAATCAGACTTAGATATATTATGTTGAAATTGAGCTGAGATTTGTTCAAATGTTAATGATGAACCGCATGTATCTTCGTTAAGAAAATTTAAAATGAGATTAATATCTTTCGATGATAAAGACATGTTAAGGAATTCTACTTTTTTTATTATTATCGATTAAACTGTACAAACAAAAAAAAGTTATACATCACATAGAATGGAGAACGTTATGTACCAATACAAAATCTTGAAGATGTCGTTCAATCGATAATAAATTTTTGTTTTCTTCGAATATTTTTTTGTTGAAATTGTTTTAATAAGAATTATAATTTTATTTGAAATTATATTTAATTGTAACAAATTCTATTGGTACCTCTCAAGAAATCAACCACGAAAATGGTAGATATCAGATGATACATTGTACGAGTGCATTTTTTTTATCGATAATTGTAATTTCTCAGTTGTCATATCAACTAAATAATAATATATTCGAATATTTTTGCTTTGTTTCATATTAGTATTAATATGGCAGATGATGAGCAATTTGATATAGATGTAGATAGTGAAATGGAAGATGACGACGACAACGATGACGACGAAGGATCGGACGACGACACAGGCTTTTTTCCAATTGATGAACCCATTGTACATTCATCACAATCGAATACAACAACAGCAGCATCATCAATACAGGCAACAAAACAAGGAAGAGGAACATCGGAACAATCAGTAAATAAATATTCGAGTGGAACCAGTGCATCGACTGTACATCCACAAGATAATAATTTTGAATATGTTGGTAAGTGTGAATCTTTAACAAATTTTAATTGTAGAGATTTTCTAAAGGAAAATTCTTCTATAGATTTGAAATCTTCTTGTTTTTGCCTGAAACAAAACAGAGTACAAACATTGATTGCTGAACTTTCTTTCATTCTTTCATTCTTCAATCTACTATCTTTATTTAGTATTATCACAAGATGATATAGTCAAATATATGGTAGAATGTATTAAAGAAGTCAATGAAGTTATTAAATTACCATCAACAACCGTACGTTTATTACTGCATCATTTTCGTTGGGATAAAGAAAAACTAATGGAACGTTTCTATGATCCTAATCATCAAGATGAATTATTTCGACAAGCACATATTGTTAATCCATTTAAGAAACCTCCTCATTTTCATACACAATTATCGAGTTCATCACATCGTACGACACGTCGTCAATTATCAACGACGTCACCTTCGCCTTCACCATCAGTAACAATTACAACGAATCCATTGAAACCTGTAACTGAACAAACATGTGCTATATGTTGTTCAACTAAACCAATCAATGAAATGGCTGGTCTCGAGTGTGGTCATAATTTTTGTATTATCTGTTGGCAATATTATCTAACAACGAAAATTATGCATGAAGGCATTGGACAGACAATCCCTTGTCCAGCTAAATGTGACATTCTAGTCGATGATAAAACTGTATTACGTCTTATTGAAAATTCCAATGTTCGTCAAAAGTATCAACATTTAATAACGAATTCATTTGTCGAATGCAATCGAAATATGCGATGGTGTCCCGGTGCGAATTGTACCAATGCTATAAAAGCATCTTATTGTGACGTGGCAATGGTAAATCGATTATGATTTATTATTTTCTTATCTTTCTATATATTGTTTTTAAAAAAAAACAGGTTACTTGTACGACATGTAAAACATCATTTTGTTTTCAATGTGGACAATCTTGGCATGAGCCAATCAAATGTAAATGGCTTAAAAAATGGCAAAAAAAGTGTCACGATGATAGTGAAACCAGTAACTGGATTGCTGCCAATACGAAAGAATGTCCTAAGTGTCATGCTACTATTGGTAAGATCAAAGTTCAATATTTAATGCGGTGCGAAGCACAGCATTCATGTAGTCCGTCGCGAGTTTTTTTTTCGTTCTTTCAAACTTGAGTACGCATAAAAAGTTCTTATTAAGTGACGCGATGATCTAAAGAACCGTAAATGATAGAAAATCCATTCAAACTAGATATGAAACTATGGAGGTCGAACTTGTTACATCTTTTTTCCGATTTACAATACTAAATTTCGTTCGCCCAAAAATATGATTCGAAAATGAAGGTTTTGAAAGGCTTTATTGTTTGATAGTTTCGCGCTAATTAAAATGACGTCATGAATAGTGTTAACCAATAGTCTATTGCTTTACATCTGATTCAAGATAATGATTCATGGAAATAAATAATCGTTCAATGAAAAAACTCGTTAGAAAGCTGGTTGTTACATTTTCAGAAAGATCTCCTAGTGATGAAATTTAAAATGGTCCATTTAAGAATAGTGAATGCGAAATTTTTATTCAAAATTCGTATACGGAAATTTAAAAAAATAATCGATTCGAATGAATCTTAAAGCGGATCAATTATTTTTTTTAAATCTTATTCTCGCTACTTTCGAAAATTCGGCTCGTGTGCTTCGCACCGCATTTCGTAGTCGAGTGAAACTCGAATACCATCTAGTTTGTAAATAAATCGAACTTATAGTATCGCTACAGAATATTATAAGTAATAGAACATGAGATTAACTGAGAAATAATTGTTAAGAAAGTACTCTGTAATGATAATCTTATCAGTTATCTATCTTGCATAAGAGATTTCGAATGAATTTCTATTCGTTATCAATGATGTCTTGATAAGAGTAAAGTAATCAGAGATAATTTACAATAAAAACTATCGAATTACCAATATATTCTTTTGCATATTGATCCGTTGAGTCTTGTTTAGTTTTAATTGACAATAGTCAAAATTGAAGAAGTTCTAGACTTTTATTAATATTTTTTTATAGTATAAAACTATCGTTGATACAAAATGCTATAGAATTAACTCGAAATACATGTAAGATATACTTCAATTATAGTATTGATTTTCTCTCTTTTGAAGTTTGAATTGTAATTACAACTGAGTATCTTGGTCGTAATCATAGGTAGCTAGTAGTTGCTCATAACTTATCGTTGGCTGAACTTATAACAAATTCTTTTCATTATCAAAGTTGAATCGAATTAATCTTTTATTCTAGAAAAAAATGGCGGTTGTAATCACTTAATTTGTAAAAATCAATCTTGCAAATATGAATTTTGTTGGGTATGTTTGAGTGCTTGGGAACCGCATGGTTCATCGTGGTATAATTGTAATCGTTTTAATGAAGATGATGCTAAAAAAGCTCGTGACGAACAAGAACGTTCAAGAGCAGCACTCCAACGCTACTTACATTATTATAAACGTTATCATAATCATCATGAATCATTACGATTAGAAAATAAACTATTGGATCAAGTACAAAAACACATGGAATCAATGCAACAACAAATGAGTTGGATTGAAGTACAATTTCTTCAAATAGCATGCGATGTTCTTCGACAATGTCGTCAAACATTGATGTATACGTATCCATTTGCATTTTATCTCAAACGAAACAACCATTCGTATGTTCAACAATAAATTTGTTCGTCAAACATGAAGAAAATTTTTGTTTTGTTTCGTTACAGTATTATATTCGAACAGAATCAGGCTGATTTAGAACATGCTACAGAAGAATTAAGCGGATATTTAGAACGAGATTTTTCTCAGACAAATGCAAGTCTAACAGAATTAAAACAAAAAGTACAAGATAAATATCGTTATTGCAGTACACGTCGTAAAGTACTGTTGGATCATGTTACTGAAGGATACGAATGTGAATATTGGTTAGTATTGATTTTTTTGTTTCAAAATAAAATTTCTCTTCGACTGTTTTCAGGGAATACAACGGCAATGTGTAAAAAAAAAGAAATCCAGGTGAATTCGGACTGTCACATCGTTGTTTCCGGACAACCAGAGCTATTTATTTAAATTGTATATGTTCCACCCATGACTATCCCTTGCGTTCTTCACTTTATACAGACGATCGTTTTTTTTGCGTATAGTTGTTATTTTGCATTCAACTCTGTATTTTTCTCTCGTTCTTGGTCTCACTGAATTGTCTGTGCTATAATCTTTGTCTTTTGTTCGATTTTGTCTAAGGAAGAAAGAAAACAAGGACTAACAGTTTTGTTTTGAAATGATTTAACATGAATTTTATTGAACGAAAATTTTTATTTTTATTTTTTCATCTATTTTATTTGCATGATATGAATTTGTTACATTTGCATTCTATTCGATTGCTTGATGAATCATCCATGAAATCTTAATTGAAAGATATTTTAAACGAGAATCATTTTGAATGTACTCAAACTTTGAAGATAAGCATAGAATTTAATCCGATTAAAGAGGCACGATACACGTGCTGCTATGAAGAACAATCAAATGATTAGGCATTTGTTTGTTATAAAATACAAAGAGAAAATCTTTCGAGCATGACGAATGCATTTAAACATTGCTTCTTACTAATGATTGATAACGATGAAGATAAGAATGTTGTTTTCATGAAGTAATTCAATATGAAAATCAAAAATCTAATCAAGATATTTGGAAAGAAAAATATGATAAGGTGGGTGTGGTAATCTAGCATCAATATTATCTGATATTAATAGCATTCAGCATCTTTCCAAATTCGTATTTATATTCTCAGTTGAAACTGCAAAGATAGTATGCTGTTCATTGGCAATTTACTTCTTCATAAGATATTTTATTTATGCACGCAGAAAAGATTGTAATTTAATATTCAAAAATACAATATGACCAATGTTATTGATTGTTTTTATTTATAATGCATTTAATTAAATAGACACATACTAAAATGTTTGACATCTGAATCTACTTTTCTAGCTACATACGTATTTAGATTTTATCGTTTAGAATCATCATGCAAAAACAAAATCTTAAGCAGCGTGTTTATTTATTTCCTGAGTGACCTTTTGTTGCATCGCCTTCTGTGTAAGCATTACTAACAACTCTGCCCTTGTCAACAATCAAGTATTCTTCACGTTGTGGTCGTCCGTTAAGCCAATTTTCAAGAATTTCTTTAACACCAGCTGCATAACGTGCTTGAGCATCAAGTGTTGTGCCTGAATAGTGTGGTGTCATGGCATGACGTGGCATTGAACGCCATGGATGATCTTTTGATGCTGGCTATAAGAACGAAAGATATAAGGTGTTATCAAAATTATTTTCTTTGTTTTCACCTGTGGATACCAAACATCTCCAGCATAACCTTCAAGATGATTTGATTTAATAGCATCGACCAATGCATCGCGATCTATAATTTTTCCACGTGCTGTATTAACAAGATAACTGCCTTTTTTCATTAATGAAATCATTTTTTTATTAAACATATGTTCTGTTTCGGGATGCAATGGACAATTGATTGTAACAATATCACATTCTTTAACTAATGATTCAACATTTGAATGATATTTAACATTAAGATCTTTTTCAATAGATTTATCCAAACGAAATTTATCGTAATAATGTAAATGAACATTAAATGGTTTAAGACGTTGTAAAACACGAAGACCAATACGACCAGCAGCCACTGTACCGATATGCTTGTTTTCTAAATCACGGGCTTTATCAGCAATTTGTGCTATGTCCCATTCGCCATTGATAACTTGCTGAAAGCATAAAATTTACTTTTATTAATTGAATAAAATCTTAAGAAAGATTTTTTATATCAACCAATAATGTTTTGCATAGTCCTAGCTAGTGTACTTCGATTCAGTGTACAGTTATAAGAATGGACTTGATGATAAACGCATCTCATCAGTTCTCATAAGATTAGCAATGCCATTTAAATTTCTATAGATTGCTGTTGGGCTAAGCCTTGTGATCTAATTTAATGTGAACTTTTCTAGGCTTATTGAAAATTTCGAGGTACACATTTGTTGCTTCCGAAGACTTTTTAGCAAATATTTGTTCGATAACTTGAAAGCTGAATTTTCACTTGTCTACAACTGCCTCAAGGCAACGTTATTTAATCCCTTCGGAAATAGAATATAGAACTAGGTTATTGATCAAAGCAAGCTATTATTAAAACATGTCGTTTCACTAAAATATGAATGGAAAGTTTTTTAGGTTCGTTAAAAATTCATACTCTGAGCAACATAGAATCCTGTAGAGTAAGAGTGTCAAGATCACTATAGAATAAGATACAGAATACGAAAAAGTCTTATCCTATTCTTAAAAACAATAAGAGATCAACTAATTCTATACTTTTCATCATATCTTCTAAACTTCGTTGTGCATCATTAAAATTGCTTTCGAATGTACTTGTGTGTAGACGTACTTTATAAGCAGGAATAAAATTTCGTACAAGTGCCAACATTTGCATGACAACATGTTCAGCAACACTCACAACATTTGAACCTGATACTTCAGCTTAAAAGCAAAACAAAATAAAGCGATTAAGTTTTATTCAATAGTTTAGGATTCACTTACCAACAGTAATTCCTATTAGAAAAATACATAATGAATTAGGTAAAAACAGTTTTCTTTTATCGTATATATAAATAGAAGCCTACCTCGTTTACATGCAGCTTCTAAATTGACATGATCAGAACCGACACCGGCTGTAATGGCTAATTTTAGATTTTTTGCTTTATCAATACGTTTGTTATCAAGATAGCACGGCCAAAATGGTTGCGATATAACAACACTGGCTTCGGGTAAAGTTTTTTCTACAACAGAATTTTCACCTTGCTTATCAGATGTTACAACAAGTTTAAGACGATTTTCAAGATTATTTTCTTTTATCCATTTGGGTAAGCCAAGTGCATTTTCTACACATCCTAAAATATTTTTATTCCTTTTGCCAGCGTCACCACCTTTTGAAAACACAGAAGAACGTTTCAATATTATTAAACAATAAAGAATTAACATCGAACCTTCATAGAGTACAACTAAAACTGTTTGTTGACCACTGGTTGATGCATAACGTGGTATACGTGTCAATGGATTATTAGATAATAATCCTTTTTTTATTATACTACTTAACATTGTTTTTCTCCTTCAATTTATAATAGTATCAAAAGAAATACAACCGTGCTTCTCTGACTTATTTTATATGCGCAATTATTTATAGTAGACCGCTTTTATACCCTGTTCGTTTCGTCGTGCATATAGATGATAAGAAAGAAAAAAGTACGCCGAGTTTAAGTAACGTCTATGAGCAATCGAAGGGTAAATTGCACTATGTGGCATCTATATGGAACTCAGTACTATTCTTTCGTTTTCACAAGTCAATTCATTTAAGATTTGATAAAGTTCATGGGCAAATTTTAAATCAAAGAAAAAACGAAGCCTACTATTTTTACTTATCCATACTAATATATTAATAGAATTTTATAAAAGGCAATTTTTAATGAAACGAAAATAATGATAATGTTTTAAAATCAAACAAATTCTTAAAATTGTTGCTTTGCCATTATTATTTGATTACTAGCGAGAACCCGTGCATACTGCACGGTCGTAGTTTTTATTATTGAAGCAAGTTTTTCATGCGGATGAGGGGATTATCACGAATACAATTAAAATCTTTATCTCCATTCTATCCAAACAATGTATTTTCATATTTTTCATTTTATTTTCAAACAAAAATTTTACAAAATTTCTTTGAAAACAATGTTTTTAGTTTTATTTTTATCACTGTTATTTTCTTCTTTGATGAGTTGTACCTTGATAGACGTTAGAGAGCGAACTCTTGAAAAGGCAACGTAGGGTGTGGGTGGGAATCTGGGTTTGGACTGTTTTGTTCTGCAGACCCACACCCACACACCCTTCTAGAAACATAGTAGGCCTCTATTTTGACTCTTAATCGTTTACCTTTAACCTTTAACCTTTGACCCGGCACAGGCACACCCACACCCACACCCTCTGCCAATCAGAAAAATCCAAGTGAAGTCAGTTTTTCACGAATGAATGGACCTAGTAAGAAATGTTTCCAATATGCCGAACTAGACAGTATATTTAACTGATAGATACAGCCCTAATACCAGTGTGAAGATTTTCATTGAAAAGAATTTTGAAAATCATTTCATTCATTATTTAAATGTACATGATTTTGAAACATGCAAAAGTCAATACCAGTTAATATGAAGAAATGTATTCTTCTTAAAACTATAGAAAAATAGGCGATAATCTGTCAACAATGATAATAGTAGCGCCGGAAAATTCTGCTCAGCGTAACAAATCAATTTTCATTTTTCTTCAAAAAATATTCGCTTTCATGAGACTAGAATGAAGAAAAAAAATCGTTTGGTTAATATTTATTTCTTTTTAAATGTTTGTGAGGGTTAATCGAGAACAAAACTTTTTAAAAAAAAAGAAAGGAAAAGACAGCGAATGAACAAACAAATAGACTTTGTCTTTTTCTGGACTTTTCAATGAACAAGAGAAGAAGAAGAAGAAACGAGTAACAAATAACACTATGGAAATTATTTGTCTAATCTTGTCGACCTTTCAATTCTCGTACAGTAACCTTGTCTTTTTCAACAACATAGACTACAGCACCCCAACCACTAGCTGAATCACGATCAACACCGTTCAAGAATGCTTGCGATGTTGCTTCGAATAATTCATCTGCATTCATATTCGGCTTGAAGAAAAGTTCACCTATGAAATAATTTTCAAAACTTATCATAGATAAATTTTTGATTCAAAACATACCAAGACCAAAAATGTAGTCACTAGCAGTTCCAACAGTAGCTAAATTCACATTGTCACTAATGGCACCAATATTATCTGAATCAAAAACGTAGGTTTCGCCAGTTTTAGGATCAAGACCAATGACCAGTGCATATACAAAATAAGGTCCAAATCGTCGTTCATATAATAGATTTGTTAACATATTGTATAATACGAGTGGTTTTAATTTTCGTTGTTCACGTAATTCATATAAATTTGTACGAAATCTCAAACGTTCAGATACGGTTTGTACCTTTAAGAGCAAAAAAAAACATTTTGAAACAAAATTAAAATTTTTACCGTAAGAGAAAAGACTTACATCAGTTGCCAAACCACAAAATGCTACAAAGCAATGATCACCATATTGAAATATTTTTGTAAAATTTGTTGCAACTGTCTTGTTTTGTATACCATAACGCTTATCACATACAATGGCGACACATTCTTTACCTTTCATTGCTAAAGCAACACCACCATTGTACGACATCATATCATCGCCCATGTTTATTGTTTATTTTTGATAAATAATAATATCTACAATCATGTTATATATGAATTTCGATTATATATTTACGGAAAAATAGTCAAATAAATAGACGCATACGGATATAATTGACAACAAGAAAGGAAAAAAATAATGATAAAGTTTCGCTTATCCGAATGATCCTGACAACACCAAAAGAAATAAAATGATACAAGACAAAAGTACAACATTGCACTGTTAACGGAAGTAAAAACTGCACGGATTTTTAGAAGATTGGTACATAATTGTCGATTCTATAAACAGAAAAATAAGTATAGTATCGAAATCAAAGAAACTATTTTGGTTTACCGTGCACGATGTTTTTGTGCGATACATTCACCAATCCAAATAATATTTCGATTCTCTTGTTCTTTTAATTTTAAATACGCATAAAATATACCAAAATGGAATTGACGAAGAAATGCATTCATATTAAGTTTAACCTTGAGAATAGAAAGAGATTTTGTATGAAATTGTTCAAAACAAAATTTCTTACTTCATGCTCAAAAAATTTATCTTCAATTGTTTTATCGCCTGTGTTTGTTCCAGCGCCTTCGAATAATAGTTTATATTGCTAAAATAATCGAAACAGAAAAAAAAATTTCAAAAAAAGAATAGCAAAATCTAACTTACAGGATAATGAGCTGCAACATCTCTTACAGCGTCATAACTATCTGTACGTCTTAATTCTTGTAAACCATCTGGATGTAAATGACCACACGTTGGATAGAGTTTTGCTCGTTCATCTTGTGTCAGACCTGTATCAAATGAGTTTATTGTTATCATAAATGCGCGGCGATCAGCTTCGAACTAAATACGATAGAAAATATTTTATCTCTCTCGTAATAAGAATGATCGAATACGTACGGCAAGTATTTCACACATCACCTCAGCTGTAATGCCACCAAGTTTCTCGCAAAAATTATAAAAATCTTCAAGGTAAGCCTGAACAAAATATTCAAATGAGTTTTGTTTTTCTTCTTAATGAAATGTACTAGTTTTTTCCGCGTACCTTGTAAAGTGTGCTACGAATGATTTCAACATTCAATTCATCAAGATCATGTTCAGAGATACAATCAATAAAATATGGAGCTAGAAAAAAACAAAAAACTAATTATTACGAATCAAATGATAGAATTTTCATACCCAATGGCGTATCGACTAGTACGGCTGTGTAGAGTTGTGCTGGTGTATCGGCAACAGTAATAGCGCCAAGTTGTTCAAAACTACCCAAAGGATGACAACGCGGTAAAAGATCACCAATGGCACGTTGATGAAGAGTACCCGTGATTAGTAAGACAATATTGTCAATCATATAAGCATATCTAATAGAAGAAAATATTTTTATGGTACTTTTGCTTTTATTTCATATAAAGATAATGTTTGGCAAAGTAAGATCTAGTCAACTGTAAACTTACGTTATATAATCAAGGAATGTTGATAATGGCTCATAGGAAACATTACGTAAATGTTGAAATTCTTGAACAGTTTTTTCACGTAGACGATCATCAATAACATTCACAGTTAAAGGACTTGCTTCATTGGCCAAAAAATTCCCATAATCAGTAGATTGTAAATGAAGTCTTAAATCTAAATAATGCCTTCGTAGAAATTGAAATACTCCATAGTATCGAAATTTTACCCTCAAGTGTTTCACATTGTACTAAATTGTGATAATCTGCTGCTTTTAAAATACCGCTTTTAAAACCACGACATAAGCCTTCAGCATAGCCATGATCGAGATTAAAGTAAAGATCGTCCTTCATTGTTAAATACAAATCAACACCAGAAAAAAATCTGAAAATTCAAAACATCTTTTATGGAAAATAGGCAAAAATGAAATTGTTTCTATTAATGAGTGTTTACAATAATAAAAGAAATATTTGTTGAATGAATAATATTCGATTGATAAGAAAATAGAATACCTTTTCGTGATTTTTAGACGAAATAGATCAATAATCTGTTTTTCAATTAGAGATACTCAGTTCTAGTTTAATTATATCTGTTACAATGTGAACAACCAGTGGGTTATTCAATGATATTAAAGAAACATAGTCATCAAATTTTTCTGATGAAATGTTTAGCGCAATTAGTTCCATGATTTATATTGTTTCTTTCCATTTATTAAAGAAAATGTTTTTTTCAAATAATCTTAAAATCATATCTAAAAATGAATAAAAAAAATTAAAATTTATTAAAACAATTACTGACTTGATTAATCAAAAAATTTAATCAATGAAAGACACAATATAGATCTCTGATTAATTGTTAATTACTAATAATTATATGTTTTATTCAATCTCATTGCTAAATGTTCACCGGCAGTTAATACGTGTTCATTATCAAGATCAAGTGCATGTTTAGCATGTTCATCTTTTTCGAATTGTCGATCAAGTATTAATTTTGATGGAATTGGTGTTAGTAATGTTGAATCATTAGGGCCACAAAAAAATGCTATAGAATAACGTTCATTATCTTTTGTTGAATCAACTACTGGCATAACAACACGATGAACAATACTTTTTATAAAACCTTTCGACCAATATTCAAAAGCATCTCCGAAATTTACAACAATCATATCATCGAATGGTTCAACAGGATGCCAACTATTTGTTGAACGATCAAGTACTTCAAGACCTGATTTATGTTCATGTTGAAAAAGAAGAGTTAGTGAACCATAATCCGAATGAGCACCAGCACGAATGCTTTCATCCGATCGTTCTGTTACAGGTGGATAATGAAGAAGTCGAATTATATTGTGAGGTTCAATTTCCAACTTATGCTTTGACGTAAAATAATCCAAATCAATATCAAAACCTTTAGCAATATATACCAATAGTTTCATACATAAATCATAACAATCACGATAAAATTTAGTAATGAATTCATAATTATTTGATTCAGCAAATAATGCAGGCAATCGATCGCGTGAAACTGCTTGTGCTATGTTAAATGCTTCTTTTTCATCGATTAATTTTCTATTTGCAGAATCAAGATTTTCTTTTCCACGTCGAATAAATCCATGATTATCTGTTCTTATGGTATAGTTTTCTTTAATATCCGATGGTAATTGAAAAAATTCTTTAGAAAGTTCAAACATGTGTTGTTGAGCATTGAAAAGATCATGATTACGGATATAGAAAAAGCCAGTTGTGGAACAAGCATTTAATATTGAGTCCACTATGGTTGATTCGTCTGCCTTAAGATCGATTATAGGCAATGAAGAAAATGACATTGGTGTTTATTTTGTTTTGTATGACAATAATAAAGAAATGCAACAGATCTCCAGAATCGAAAAGATCAAATAAGTAAACAGATGAGTCATATAACTGATATAAATACTGACATCTACTAAACGGGGAACTTGCTTTTCGTTCTATTTTACGTTATAATTCAAAATGAATATCAATAAAAAAAGTATTTAATATTTTCACTGTGAAGTCTTATTTATTTTCGGAAGATGTCGCCATATACAGATTACCATTGCTCTTACAGTAAATATATGAACAGGTCTTGTAGCATATATGATTGATGGTACATGGAGAACCGTATCCATAGTTGCTAAAATGTTCTCAATTATAATCTCACCAAATTTGAAAAGTATGTGACATATTTGGTGAGGTTACTTGATTATGGATCAAATTTCTGCTTCGTGTATGACATCATTTTATCTAGAACTAATTTCATGGAACAGCATCTACCATACAAAGTCATTAATTACAAATTTAATATCCATAAAATAATTGACTCACAACCAAACAAGAAATAATCCGAATTCTGAACTTATTACTTCTATATTCTGTCTGTTTTTTTCGATTTCAGATTAGTTGGCAGTCTACGAAAAATGGAGACAATTCAAAGTGAACAGAGAACGAGTCTCTGTCAGCAGTCTCATCGGTAATACACTATTCAAAGGACACCATCTAACTGTTGAAATTCAAAATCTAACACAAAAAATCTATGAAGATCTAATCAATCACTATCCAATAACACTGAAATGTCAATGTAGTCGAATCGATATACCTTATAGTTCATTTCTTTCGATTTCAACGTATTATCATCCTATTTGTTCAAGTACCTACATTCTTGACGAATGGATTCATTCGAGTCGGCTTCTATTGAAGAAGAAAAAATACGAATTCCATACTTTGCAAATTTTTTGTAAGTATCTATGATTGCGTTCAGAGGGAATTTATGCATGAAAAAATATTTGAGAAGTAGTAAATGCTTATTGTGATACTAATTTGAAACTTTCTACCAGCTTACATAATTTAGACATTATTTTTCATTCGCTAGTGGATTGTATGTTCTTTGTCTTTAAAACAAAACATATTCGCTTTGGCACACAATGTCAACAAAATTTCATAGATATGTATTTTAAGTATAAGTAATTTATTTTCTGGCGAAATTTGAAAAGCCAAGAATGTCATCCTTGTCTTTTGGTAACTAAACTAAATCTATCAGTATGTATTTCACCAATGCAGTCTAATACTTTTAGTTGTATGCTGATTTGTCAAAAATTCATGTACCATCAGTTTTGTATTATTTTATTATATACTTCGGGTGTGCGAGTGTGAGCGCCTAATAAGTAATACACCCACACCCTCTTTCGTCTGAAAAGAATAAAGCTTCCAAACAGAATCTAAAATTTAGCTTTGTTCAAGGTATAGCACTTAGTAAAAAGGCTTCGATTTCGTTGAAAACAATTTTCTGCATGGAATCATTTTATTTTCAATGCACTTACATTTATTCTAGACAAATGCTTTCGTCCCAGGTTGTATTTGGAGAATTTCGATAAATAGTCCTTTTATTGTGTAGTGAAAATTTCAGAAAGAAAATGATTAAGGCTTCTGATGAGATCAACTTTTGCTTTTACAAATAAAATATAGATAGACATTCATCGAAGGTTTAAGAAATTACGCAGATAAATCAATTAATTCTGCGATTTGAACAGGAACTAAGTTCCACTACATAGAATTTGAGCAAATGACGATATATAATTATGATACACAATATTCAGCGATATAGAATTATGCAATAGACAAACAGATTGTTTAAATAAATTATGTCGCAAGTTCTACATCAATGTTAAGAGTAAAATTATCTAAAAATAGCAACGGTTGTAAACACGTGCCAATAAATTTGATTGGTATCCAAGCTTGAAAATCATGAGCTTTCAATCCATCCTTGCTGGAACGAAATCTTTCTCCATAGTACATATGTAAAGTTTCTTCTGATGATATTTGCAAGGTAGCTACATTGAATTGTTGAGCAGGAACTGTAAAATTCGTACCAAATGGATCATCGATCGAACACGGATTTATAGTCATATCGGTTACGTGTTCGGGTGGACCACGTCCATCGGCACAATAATTTAATTGACCGTGATAGGTCCAATTACCTAGTATTTCAGTAGCAGAAAATACTCGTGCATCTGAACCCCACTGACAAAAACAACAATCAAACGACAACATTGTATAGTAGATTCCTTTTTGTTTAAACATTCCACCTCCATCATACCATGGGAAATCTTCTTTTTCAAAAATAATAGAGAACTGTCCAGTAGTTGTCATCCAATCTGGTGACAGTTTTTCTACAACATGTCTCAAAGGTTCATCACGTGTATTATACCGAACATAAGCTGTATTATCATCATCAACAAATAGATTCGTAGTATCACTAATTGTTTTTCCACCTTGCATTTCTAACGGTTGAACATTGACGAAAGGACCAAATGGTGTAGAAGCAACAGCAAGAGCAACTAGAGAATTTTTAAATCCATATCTACTCGACCAATAGATCATCACATATTGTTTAGTGCGATGATTGTAGCCAACATTTGGCATCCAATAATTGATGTAATAATTGTCTTTGGTAACCTCAGGTACAATATTATTATTGATCAAAGTCCAATTGACAAGATCTGGTGAAGTATATAAAGCAAATGTATTATTTATATAACCACATACACCATCACAAATAGTCGTCGACTGATGACATTCACCATAAACTGTACCATACATAAAGTAGGTATTATCAAATTTAACTAGACAACCATCATGTGCATTAACAAAGTTTCCATCTACATCCAGTCGAGGTATAACATTAGAGATAACTACTTGCTTGCTTGAAACGAGCCAAAAATTTGATATAAAAAGAATCGAAACAAAATGCATTGATAAAATAATCATTTTTTGAAAACGCTAACAGAAGAATATCTTAAACAATCTATAATAGTTTCATTGATAAAATGAAGTATACTCCAAAGAAACAGCACATTATACCAGTGTGACTTTTGCGCTAGCTTATCTTACTGCTAAGATAACAAAAGCAAATGGTGCTTTTCATTTCTCTTTCTTCGTTTAATAAACATAAAGGTTTGTTTGCCTTGAAAATAAATAGAACTAACTATTGATTGAGAATGACTTCTCATTTAAATAGTTATTGAAGATAATCATATTAGTTGAAAACACGTCGGCGAAGTTGACAACTAATGGATACGTTATTTGACAAAATTTTATAAAAAACAGGAAAGAATAACATTATGTTTAAGATCTCAACCTTCTTGAAAAAGCACGGATGATTATTTAAACTAGTTCCCTCCTACACCGATCCTATCGAATAATTATGATGAAAAGAAATCGAAATACATTTCATTGTCCAAACTTGTGATTTTTTCAAAGGTCTGAGATGATCGTGTAGGTAAAATGGCTTTAACACGTCAATATGTGTATGATCGGGTAAAATTCAATATTCTTTTTTTAAATTTTGCTGTTTAAATACACAAATGAAATATTATTTCCTTTAGTTTATTGCTTTTAAGTCAACCATAGCTGATATATATCGAAGAGAAGTTATTTTAGATGGTGAAAAAAGTTTTAATAGACATATTAAAGATTGCTCCAGAAGATTTTGCTGGTTTGTTTAATATATAATATTAAAATATACTTTATCTAGATGCTGCCAGCTATTCGTAACATATATATACTTAATGGTGAAGGTTTTCGTTTTGTTTTTGATGTCACTGATACTGAATCATTTACTGATATAAATGATGTTTAGTAAGATAATTTATATGATTTCATCAAAATAATCAACTGTTTGTCTTTCCTATTTTAAGTGAAAGAAATATTCCAGCAATATTAGTTGGGAATAAAATTGATTTAGCTCATAAACGCAGGGTAACATTTGAAGATGCTGAGCAAAACTCACGAAGTTGGTCAATACGATATATGGAAACATCAGCAAAAACAAAACATTGATACAGATATTCATCAAACGGCTAAAATCAAAGATAAAAAAAATAATACAAAATGTTATGTTATGTTGTAGAAGAGAAAAGAAACAATATGTTAATAATTATTCACTTATTTTTTTATATATCTTCATATTCATAGAAGTGAGATGTCTTTTTATGTGATTTATCACAACAATTTGTTCTTGTTACTCACTATTTTGTGGAACTCACAAATATGCTTGGGAAGAAGATTGTGGGTGTAAGTTTAAAGACGAGTCTTTGCGGCTCCCCGCCGGATAGGTTTGTGTGCGTCTGCCGTTAAAAAGGCGAGTAACAAACACCCACATCCTTTCAATATTTACACAAACAATCCAATTCCGAAGTAAAAAGATCATCCAAAATTAATTTATAGTGTACTTTCCAGCAAAAGACGTAGGGAATTTTACCACGACCGACATTGTCTCTATAGTTTTTCCTAATTGTAACTTCGAAAAACGAAGATAAAGTTTGGCGGTACAAAAGGTATTACGTGAGAGGGTATATCGTTGAACTTCTCCCGTTCTGGTAGGGTACGATTTATTGGCAGTACCCGCCAGCCGCTGATTTAGAAAACGTCTTATTGTTTTCTTACCGTGTTCTTCTATGCACCATGATAATCTTACTCAATACTTTCTGCTTTTATTGCTATCACGCTAACACAAAACGACTTCCCTTTAGGTAGAGTACATCAAATTTTGCAAACATATATTATAATGGAAAATATATCAAAGCATTGAAGAGTAAATAGTTTTGGGAAAGCAAAATAAGTTTCAGTCTAACACAGATCATTCCACTCGATTAATAGTTATCCATATATTTCTGTACTACCGAGAGCATAGCCACCATAATTTCCACCAGCAACTAATATTGCTCCATTTGCCAATGTGGATGCTGTATGCAGATATCGTAAAGTAATTACACCAGTCGTATTTTTCCAGATTCCTGTTGATGGATCGTACACTTCTCCATATGTCGTTCTACCAGCAACTAAAACTGTTCCATCTATCAATGCCGATGCTGTGTGATGTGATCGTGCAGTACTCATGCTGCTCGTATTTTTCCAGAGACCAGTCGATGAATCGTATATTTGTGCACTACGGAAAGGACGAGTCTTATCCTCTCCCCCAGCAACTAATATTGTTCCATTTGCTAATGTGGATGCTGTTTGCCCTTATCTTTTAGTTTTCATGTTTCCAGTATTTGTCCAAAGTCCTGTTGATGGATCGTACAATTCTGCACTCTTCGAAGTATATCCACCTGCAACTAAGACTTTTCCATTTGCCAAAAGGGATGATGTGTGCCCGTATCGCGGAGTATTCATGCTTCCAGTATTTGTCCAACGTCCTGTTGATGGATCGTACAATTCTGCATTCTTCAAACCATATCCACCTGCAACTAAGACTTTTCCATTTACCAATGTGGATGCTGTGTGCCACTGCCGTGTAGTATTCATGCTGCCGGTAGCTGTCCAGAGTCCTGTTGATGGATCATACACTTCTGCACTATTCAATGGAGACCCATTATATCCACCAGCAATTAAGACTTTTCCATTTGGTAATGTGGATGCTGTGTGTATGTATCGTGCAGTAATCAAACTGCCCGTAGTTGACCATCCTAAACAGTAACATTCAAATGGGTTAAGCATATCAGCTTTACAAGTAAGACCTTTACATGAACCTTCCACGAAACAGTCTTCGTCAGACATTTTAATGCAAATTTTGAGATATCAACAAACATAATAATGCCGATTTATATACATCTTGTCGTTATACAGTTTTCACCCAAAAGTTAACCTCCACGAAAAACGATTATGGACGGTTACATAGTATATGACTCAACTTAATACAACTATTATTAGTATATAGGACTATTTATGAGTAAGTTTCATGGCTGTTGTATCAGCTGAGTGAGGAGAAACAACAACTTCCAGCATTCCAGGAGTGTGTGGGATTGAGTATAAGAGCATCTTAGATTGGCTGGAATCTGCTACTATTGAAATATGGATATTTTATTTCATCCCGAAATTAGCATCCCTATGATGGCTCGCATTTCTATTTTGAATATTCTATACTTGTACAAGCGTATATATCATATTTACAAATATTTCACAATTTCTTTGACTCTGGTCCTTTATTTTGTATACGTTAGATCATGAGATACGTTCTTCATGAACACTGTTATTGTGAGTAGATATGCTTCGTTATCTTGTTCGCTTGCCTGCCGTCTCCTTCATCCTCTGACATGACCGATGGAGGAAGGAGAAAGAGAAAAGCATGTGGTCGGCACATTGTTTTCGTGTCTGTCTTTCCTCGTAGTTGCAATATCGTTCTCAACCACGAAGTTGCATGGTTTGTCTCTCTTCCAATTGATCTTATCGTCCTAACTCCTGATCTAATTTTCTACAATCTTGTCAGAGAGTTGACTCCGTCTGAGGAAGAGGAACTACATCTAGCTGAGTGCGAGTGATTAGGAGATATACTCATCACTCCATCCACACCAACACCACGAAAGAAAAAAAGAGTATCGCCAGTCATCGGGAAACTGCTAGTGAAGAGGAAAATTGGATCATCAGAATATGGGTGATACGAAAGTGTTTAAAAACGAATTTTACCTGCAGCGCGAGCTGTAGTACTTGTGCTGATCCTAGTGCTGGTGGTCGTGGTTGTGGTCGTGCTTACCCTGGTGCTTGTGCTTGTGCTCGTGGTTGAGACCGTACTTGTCGTGGTGCTCGTGCTCGTGGTTGAGGCCGTACTTGTCGTGGTGCTCGTGCTCGTGGTTGAGGTCGAACTTGTCGTGGTGCTCGTGCTCGTACTAGCAGTGGTACTGTTGCTTGATGCCACTAGAAATGATCATTTACTGTGTGTCACCTGTAGATAGGATACCTTGACTGAACCCTTAATAGTGGGGCATTTTGTTCAGCTAGAACTGAAACCAACGCGATTTGGGTAAATGATATTAAAATTTGGGACAGTTTTTGTGAGAATAATTTGTCACGTATCATAACTCATTCAAAACGGTTATATTCCAAAAGACAATCTTTCAGAAAAGACATGTCCTAAAAATGACATCATCGCATTTTTTCAAATAGTAGAAAACATTTTTGCTCTATATCTAATATTTTTCGAATATCAGACTTTTGGTGTTTGAAAGCGCAAACATTCCATTCTCGTTGAGTAAAGCAATATTTTCATACAATGAAAAAAGATATCATGCCAAATTTCAAAGGAGTTTGGAAAAGGTAAACGAATGCAAAACATCCTCTCCATCAGGGTATAGAATTCCCTTGTATTTGCACAGGACGTACCTAATATATCAATATGATACCAGGTCTGAAACGTTTCAGGAAGATTCTTCAGTGAGACTACGTCAACTTTCAAAAGATTTAACTCAAAAGGTATTTTTGGACCTCGAGATATATATCTGGACAGTAGTTCTTTAGTTGCTGTGCTTTAGCGGTGTGAACTTGGTAGATGTACTTTCTAAAAAAGACAAGGAGAAAAACTCATTCCGAGCTATTCGAATAGCTGTGAATGGATAGAAATGACTGGAAATATCCCAATGAGGTTTTCCTCCCTTGCGCTAATATCTCCTTCATCAATACTTAATTGAGTTTTCGTAGGCGTTCTTATTAGACATAATATGGTATTAAAAGTTTTTATAGAAATTATAGGTTTGATTTCATTGGCAAAACCTGTAGATGTAGAAGTTGTCTGGGTTGTTGCATTTGAGTTGAGTGGTGGGCACACTTGAGCAACAGCAAGCGCTTGTGGATAACACATTGGCTTGTTACAGCGAGTGCTGACAACGCAAACAGTGCAAGGCACTGTGCATGTTACATTATCACTCGAACAAGGTGTCAGGCTCGAGCAAGAGAGCAGTGCAACGGCACATATCCCACCCGAGCCTAGAGTAAGCGCCAGACATTCACAATCGGAGTTGGTTGAACAAGGCGCCACGCTAGTATTACACGTTGAAGGTTGGCATTGCAAGCTAGCGAATATTTGCCCTATTCAATATTGAAAATATAGTGTTCATGTTAAGATCGATGCCTGTTCTCACCTAATATGCTAAAACCAATAATAGAGGAGTATGAAAAATTATTTTACAGCAATGTTTGTCGTTAGACGTCAGTCACTTACATAAAAATAACCAGCACTATTGACATGTTCGTTGTACTGTTGAAAATTTGTAAATGCAAGTAACACAGTGGCTCGAGCTTTATACGTTTCGCATCTACTCTTACGCCTACCATCACCTTCTGGTTGAAAATTGTTCGAAGCCAACACAGGCAACTGAGTTCAAAAACAAAATCTTCCGCTATTTAAGAAAACAAATATTTTTTCGATTTCTATCCTCAGGAGGGTGCCTGTGTTTCAGTATTCGCTTCGATGGCACTCACATGCTTGCTAATCGATTATGTGACGTATATATCATTAAATGGAAGTGATTAATTCTTTCAGCATGCGCTTCACTTTAATAAAATAAGAGGAGAATGGTAAACCCTTGAAGGGTTTATTACTCTACTCTTATTTTCTACAGTGTGTATTTACGTATACAAATAAAGTCATTTTTCTCTCATTACATGAATGGACTAAGTAAAAAGAACTTGTTGCTACATGAATTATATTCTGTCCGTGCACAATATTAATTCTTTCTCCTAGTCATATTTATTTTTTACCTTTATGCACACGGGTCTCCATCAAACAAATAATGATGCATAACTTTGAAAATATAATTACTTCCGTTCTTTTTTCATAAAAAGGATTCGGATATTACAGGTTTGAGCAGCCAATATGAAGATAAATTAGTAGAATTCCATAAAGATTACTTGGAAAGTTGCTGATTATTATTTATCCTAGCCATTGGCACCATTATTGAAGAGCATACAAATTTCGTGTGTATATGTTGCAGGAGAAATTAAAATTCAGTAGAATTTAAAATTCTACTAGTAGAAATTAAAATTTTAATTTCTACTAGTATAACTTAAAATCACCAAATTATTTTAATTTCTACTAGTATAGCTTGAAATTTCCGGTTATTTTAATTTCTCCTAGTAGAGAATTAAATTTTAATTTCTCCTATAGTAGAATTTTAAATTCTACTAGACACTTTTATTATAGAACATATTTTAATTTCTCCTATAGTAGAGATTGAAATCCANAGCTCTACTAGGAGAAATTAAAATAATTTGGTGATTTTAAGTTATACTAGTAGAAATTAAAATTTTAATTTCTACTAGTAGAATTTTAAATTCTACTGAATTTTAATTTCTCCTGCAACATATTCTATAGATTGTGTTATGTATCTATATGATCCTAGAGTAAATTACTAGAATTATAGAAAAATAATCGACATTATTAGCAAATAATTAGAATTGCAAGAGCCAATGGTACGTTCCACAAAAGTCATCATGATGAACATTTGGAACTTTTTCACCAGTCGATATTAACTAATTGTAATATTTTTGTGTATTGTTGACTGTAGCAAAATTCCTTTAGATTCCTAATACGAAAACAAATAATTATTAGCTGTCGAAAACAAAGAGAAATGAAACCGTTTACATCTTAAAAAACTGTAGCAGATTTATATTAAATTTTAATAGAACTATTTGAGTTCCCCTTGCTGTTATTAACATGGATAAGAACAATAAATTATGAATAAAATCCAAAACGGAAGTCGTAGTAAATGATTCATAACAATTTTTCTGGCTTCAATGTTAAGTGATTTTATTTTTTCATAACGAGTAAAATTGATGAATGCAACAGAAGAATGATTAAATATTAAACTACAACTTATAACGGTGCAAATATCTAATGAATGAAACTTTACACTTGTTATCATTCGATCAAATAATCTATATACTTTTGTGTTACGCTTATACGAAGCAATACAATTTTTACTTGTATCTTCCTATTTAGCATCTGTTAAAACATAGAAATTGATCGTATTTTTATGAAACAGGATTATGAATTGGTGGTTAGCCTTAATTGATTGTGAACGTCTTTATTCATGGAGTATCAAACGATTTATTGTTCAACATCAAACAACGATCGCACAACGAAGTAATCCAGATATTTTTAGACAAAAGCTAATTGTTGCCGCTCATGTAGAAGAAAATCGATCGAGTAGTTGATCAAATTGAGACATTCTATTTTAAAAAAAAAACTTTTTATTATTCATGCTTTTCGTCAAATGCAGAATTATTCATAAAGAAACCTTTGGATATGCAACAGAGTTTTTTTTCAAGTAAGAATATGCTGATTATACACGAGACAATCGAACAGTACAGTATATTGAAACAATATGGATGAATTTTTGCATCTAGAAGAGGTTGTCAAGTTCTTCGAAACATGAGATATGATCAAAAAATTATATAGACATGAATAGAGACAATATTGATGATAAATGTAGTAAAAGAAACATAAATCAATTAATTGACGAATATTTATCGTTGATGTGCTAGAAAAATCTTTACAAAGATAGACACCAATTGAAACACATGCTAACAGTTGAACAGTAAACTTTGAATCTTAAATACTTTAAATAGAATTTGAATGCTTTACATTATCAACCGTCAAACATAAGAAACAGAAGAATAAAAATTGTTTTTCTGCAATTTTCTTTCTCATTTACTCCTCTTCTGTATTTGAAATTTTCAAATGACTATAAATAGTATTTAGATGAGACATCATCTTAGTTTTTGTTTAATATTCTTCTATTGATTTTGAGAGAAAAAAATGAAATTTCAAGACTGAAATTAAAAAGTTCATCGCTTTTGAATGAAAGTAACTTTATTTCATATTCAATCATCATATTTTCAATTGAAACATCTCTTGATCACCTATCCATTTTATTACTATTCGAATAATTGGCACGATATTTCAAACTAATAGATTTGTACAAATTTATTTTTTCATATAAAGTCTAATACTTATAAAAATATTCAATCGTTAAATGTCATGTTATAGTGCTAACACAATACTATTGACGAAAACATTGAAAAGCTCGCTGTCGAACCGTATTAATCCAATCGATTCGATGTTGCGTTTCTCGAAGTGCAATATTTAATTCATCAGTAACACTTTTATGAATTTGATAATCTCTTAAATAGAGTCCTTTTTGATATTCCGTAATAGCTGGTTGATGAGACATAACTAATGTTAGCATATTATTTTTTGGAAAACGATTTATTTGTTCTGATTTTCTCGATGCTTGTTGTACACAATTCAGAAGACGTTTACGATATATTTCTTCATCAGCTAAACGTTTATCAAGTTGCTCAATAAGTATTTGTAGTTTACTTTGATCACTTCTTTGATTGATTGGTTTCACATTTGATGAAAATAATGGAGGAAATATCGGATTATCCTCATGTTGACTAATTATATCTAATGGATCGTTACGGTATATGGATGATCTAAATAAAAAGATTCATCAAGCATTATTGTATATTTCTTCAAGCTTAGTTATATTTACATGGGACTTTTATTAGCAATTGGCAATTTAACATCTGATGAAGCTGATGAATTACTTGTTACATCGGCTGAAAAAAAATTTGATGGTTTATGAACATTTTCATTTGGTTTTATTATCTTATGATTATCTTCTAAAATGACTTCTTGCGATTCATGTTGTTGATTATGACAAGAGCGAGGAGTCAACGTGATCATTGTAACAGATGTTGTTCCTGTGTAACTTTTAATACTAACACCATTATTATTATTATTTTCAATAGTATTAATATTATTATGCTGCTGATGATGATGATGAATACTATTATTCTTGTGATTATCCTGATCGTGATTATTTTCGACATGATTATTATCATTATTATTATAATCGTGATCATTATGAAGATGGTTATTATTGTGATTATTATTATCATTGAAACGATTTGTTTGCGAATAAGTTTCAAGCATTGTTGTTTCAAGATCAAATAGTTTTGTACATAATTGTAAAGCATATTCAAATTTTAAGACAATATCAGGTATAAGACGAAGCACATATGTCATATGATGATCATGAAATGGTATCGATGCTGAAATATATTTCTCGCTTTCATCCCATAGAGTTGATGCATTCGCATAAAATTCATCATGAAGTAAAACTTGTATTTGTTCATTGATTTTTTTTAATTGTATTTTCAATTCTGCTGCTTGTCGAATATATCGAACGCGAACTTTTGATATACGACTTCTTGGCGAGAATTTTCCTTTTGATAAAAGTAAATTTGATTGTTGTTGTTCAGATTCATCTTCATGAAAATCAATGGCTAATGTTGTAACTAATAATTCAGCTTCAAATGTCGAATGGCAATGACGAAGTTCAGCTAATTGAAGACGAAATTGATCAATAACGGTTAAGACTTTTTTATTATCACGTGCATTTTTATTAAGAAGACGAACAAACTCATCGATTGTAGTTAAATTATAACTTGCGTAGGATTTAAAAAGACGTGCACACATTTTTAATGTTTCATGAAATGCTTTTACATTATAAGTTTGAACTATATGTTTTATTCGACGACGTAAGGCTATAAATAAATGTTCAAGAGAATATGCATTATCAATAGACTGAGTACTATCATTTGATGGTGGACGACGTGGCGTTTCTTGTAGTAGTAGTTGTTCTTGTTGCTGCCGTTGTTTTTGTTGTTGCTGTTGTTGAGACGTATCCCCTAGTAACAAGAAGCTTATCTTAATTTATTTTACATCATGCTCATTTTTAAATACAAAATATAATGTAAAGCAAAAGATACATCAGATATTATATATTTTCTTTTAGTCGAGATATATCATCTGAAGTTCTATACAGTTCATTATTTATTATTAATTAATTATTTGTTTGCGTCATGAAATTTAAAAGCGAAGTGCTTTATCGCATGAAGTTAATCATTCTTGCATTCATTTAATTTTACTATATAGTGATCAACGAAAGGACCAATTACAATTGCTTGTAAGAAAGACAATTTTTTTTTGTTTTTACATCATAAAAATTAACGCACAACTCACCTATATTCGATGATATTAAAGGTAAACGAACGTTATTCGTGTTACTCCATCCTGATGTAAGCATCATTGACTATTGTGATGCTTGAATATAATAATCAAAGAATAGTAATCGGAGAAAGTATGTAAGACGTTTGCCAAGATTACATGCAAATAAACGAACGGAACGGAAGAAGTAGATGCATACATCAATCTACAACATACTTGGCAGGGAACAATTCAGCTACATATTTCATTTTTTCTTTTTTTCTCTTGTCTCAACATCTCTATCGATTTTTTTCTTCAGTTAGATTCTTCAAACAATCAAATACGAAAGCATAAAAATAAGAAAAAAAGGATTCTTGTTAATCAACTTCTATGTTTAACATAGGCATCAAATAGAAAGATAATAAACAATAAAAAAAAAACTTGATTCGATTAAAATTCTGTTGGACATATTAAAGAAAAATATTTCTGACGTAATGAAATATATTCTTCTTTGATTTATTCTTTATTGCATTGAGCATCGAAATTAAACTCAACGATGCACATAAACTCATCGAACCGATTCAATAGCATCGCAGGTTCTATTCATCGGCTTTAATTAGTATAAACATGCTTTCTATGCCATTTCCCGTTTTTCATTGTGCTTGATTCCGAACGTCTTCTTTCTTCTTTTTTCTTCTTTTTTTTCTTCTTTGCTCCTTTCTTGTTGATTCTTAACTAAATCATTACCATGCTCGTCTTTATGATTGTAAGTTGAAGAGCTTAACGTGATTTCTCACAGAAATTGTCTTTTTTTCAATTACCCGAAAGAAAACTAAAATGTTTTCATTACTTGTTTTAATTCTGTTTATATTTCGAATCCCAACATCAACAGATTCGGCTGTTTTATTTTTTCATAAGAAAGTCGACAAGCAGGGTCGTTTTCATTCACCTCAACATGGTAGCGCATCGGCATTGCCCGGTACTGTTTGGACACATTTTCAATGTGATTCAAAAGTAAGTCCATTTATTGGTATTGGTTTTGGTTGTTATTGTCCTGGAGCATGGTGTTCAAATAATGCCCAATGTTGTTCGCAAATGTGTTATAAAAAAACTTGTTACTAATTTTGAACACATTTATAATGCAAAATTTATTGTACATCTCGGTGTTTCATGAAATAAAAGAAATATTTATTGATGTATTTATTTTTTTCATAAGATTTTTTTATAATCATAAGCGTCTTATTTCTTTTCTAAATTTAACGTTCACTATATGATGAAATAATAAAATGGTGAAATGTTGAAATATACGTTTTTGTTTTCATATTGCCTATCGAGTTTCAATCATGTATTGTACATGAAAAGAACAAAGAGTTTTGAGCGTTTGATTATCCTCCTTTTTTTTTCTCGTGTGAAGAAGCTCTTTTGCAGTCTAAGAAAATTTTGAAAGAGAAATGATCAATGATGTAATTTTATGTGTACAATTAGGATGCAAAAAAAGATGTTTGATATATTATTTTCATACTTTTAAAGTCACAAAGATAATCACATTAGGTGTGATTAGTCGAAATAATACTTTTTAAGCTTGTTGGATCATAGTATATATGTAGCTTCGGAGAAGATGGGCATGTCTGCCAACATCTTGAGAAATATATTCGTAGGCATTAACTTTGCTATTTAAAATATTGAAATAAAATAACCGAATCAAAACGGTGAACCTACTTGTGTGACATTGAAAAATCATAAGTAAGCGTTAGAAGGTATAGAAAAAGAAAATTAAAATAGGAAACAAGAACTTTCATGCTTTTTAAGTATACGATATAGATACTTGAAAAGAGAAAGAGTACAATAATATTTCAAGTACTGAAAATTAAATAACACCTAGTTCTATTTGATTATTTTTCATTGAAATCTAAAGGTAAAATAGCCACTTATCAATAACGATGAATTCTAATTCATATTTCAATTAATAGTATATAGAATTGAATCATTTATTTTGAAATCATGTAAATTCATTGATGGTCACAATTTAATATTACAGTAGCATAAAAGGTTTACAAGTGTATATTTAATGGAAAATGTTTCGACATTAAACAAACCTATTCTAAAAAACATATGCACTCATTAAAGTTTATGGTTTGATATGTAATAATCATTGATTTAGAGAATTAAATTTATTTAAAAACCAACCAGACTGAAAGCACAATGAAACCTATACAAAAAAGAAAATGATATCTGAACATTTGACTGGGGGCATCAAATTTTGAATTGATATTGTGTATATATGTGTGCGCACTTTAAAATAGTGATTTATTGTGAAAAAAATGTGTTGTTTGTAAGTGATTTTATGTACCATTGCATATCTTTATCAAGAATAAATCAATTTTCCTTGAAATCTTCGTGTTAACTAAGAGTTTGATATAATCTACAGTAAATCTCAATAATACTTGTGTTTTATTGTCAAGAAGAAAAGAATGATGAAAAGGATTCTAGGAAACTCATGTTGCATTTCTATGTTTATTTTCCTTTAGAATTTCTCCGTGGTGAAACTATTTGTTTTAATGAAACAATGATGTACTTACTACTCCCAATGATTTCTCGTTTAGTTGTCTAACACCGATGGTTTTTTGTTAGTCGTTAATTGATTTTGTAATATAATCTAAGCTTATTTTTTAATAAATTAGATATGACGTTTGAATCAACAATATTAAAAATCGTGTTGAATTACTCAGAATAAAAATTTTTCTATAGTCAATACTACTAATTATTGTTTATTTATTTTGTTAGACGCACGAATGAAAGTCAACTACAATTTGTTGTTGTTATCTTCTCCATCATTTGTACCTTTATGAGTTCATTCATTTGTCAAAAAAATCATCTTGCATGCAAATATTACTTTTATTTAAGTACATATTTACTATACAATTATCGATTATGGACCGATTAGATGTTATCTAGTGAACATTGATTCATAGTTCGATTGAATATTTTCAATATCAAAATTTTTTTGACATGACCGTATTTGAGAAGAAAACGAGTATTCACTTATTCAAAACATAATGAATTATCAAGACTTTAACTGGTAGATTCAAATGGATCATAATTCGCATTAAACATATGGTATCATGAGTATGTTTTATAAAGATCAAACAGTGCATCATAGTTTATTAGAATGAATATTTAACGAATTAACTCGATGGGAATCAGTAGAATCTAAATAAAATTATCGATAATTTCGCTGAAAACCATCGATCATTGTCGGAATAAAGCAACCGAAGTGTCTACATCTATTGTAGTTTGACGAGAACGCTTCACTCTAGAGACATTGCAATATGCGAGACTACTTTCCAAGACATCTAACCCCACGTTAATCCATCATGTGGAACAATGGAAATCTATCGATCATGATGATTATATGAATCAATGCTTCCATTAATTTATCAAATATATAAATTTAATAAGAACATAAAAGCAATTGTTGTAGATATTATCAAACTTTATCAACACGAGAGTTATTATTTTCCATAACTAAAAATATTCTGCTATATGATTAACAAATTATTATTTTTGTGTTAAAGTAAAGATTGATCAATCATGCATGAAACAAGTCAACTGATCAGTTAACTTGCTATTGTCTTAATGAATTACAATGTTGTTCAAAGATTATTTTTATTTTTTTTAAAAGATTTTATTATCGTAGAATATTTCAATAATTAAAAATATCAGGTATGTTTTCTTACTTCATTATCAACTCTAAAATTTCATATACGAATCAATGAATAGTAAAAAACAATCTAATTATTCGTTTAGTACGAAAACAAATTGGAATCTTGTTTTTTTGTCGTTGCTATTTATTTTAAAATTGCATAAAAAAATCCATTAACATATTGTCTATTCATCTAAACCGAATATCACATCTGCTCTACCTGTATGCTTTTATCATGTTCGTTCGATCTTCCTCTAATTTCAACATTGTGCATTCACCAAACATCCAGGTACAGATCACCTGCTGACCAAATATATAAATATATATACATATATCAACCTACTTGCTCTAATGAAGCGCAATAATACGCTTATCAATGACTATTAGAATTCAACCATCATTTAATCGGTTGAACAACACGCACAAAATGAAGAAAAAAAAGACATTACGTGTCCTCAAACAAGTATTCATAAAAAAAAATAAGAAAGAAAATATCCAACCCGATTAGCAGACGTCCCTTAGCCTACGGCAATCAAATCGGTCAGAATTGAGTTCAAAACATCTATAGCATAATTTCAGTCGGTATGTTCAACAAATGTGTTAACAACAACGATGAACTGATCACCAAACGTAAAACTAAACTATGTGTTATCAATCGATGACACCTCATCGAATAGACAATTGTCAACATATACATGTATATAGTAATGACAATCGGCAATAACGAAAAGCGAAAATTAGATCTCACCATTTTACACACATGTTCACTTATCATCTATCCAGATGGATAAAATGACGTGTTACATATCAGTTGATCTATTCTAAAAAAAAAAACTAAAACTAAAACGAATTTCCTTTTACTAATCGCACGAAAAAAAGTAAGAGTGATTTTGATTTTGATTTGTGTAAATGAAAAAACCTTTTTACACATTCGCACACACACACACATGTCTGCTGATCCCGCCCAAGTGAGTAAGTCATTCTGTTGGGGTGCTACAGATAAATTGACGACAACACCCACATTCGAGTCATAATTACGTCACACAATTAGTGTCAATAGACAGCAGGAGGTTAAAATAAAATAAAATAAAATGACAAAAAAAGAGAACATCATCGGATTCCCAAGGTATATTACATTTATTCATCACGCACATTCGATCTTTTTTTTTATTCTATTCCAATGAGAAGTTTTACTTTGACAATCTGTCATTGTTCTAGTTTTTTTTTCTGATTACAATCGAACACGCGACTAACGTATTTTACCAATTAGAACGTCTGGCATTATTAAAAAAATATATATCTACGAGAAGTAAGGTAAAGTTGACTTGAAGTTGAACAGAATATGATTGACAGATTATTTTGTAAAGGGGAAGAGAGAGAGAGAGAGAGAGCAATTGTTCATCGATCGATCGTTAACAACAAAAGGAAAATGAGAAAAAAGAAATGATAAGCGGCATGTCAACCACCTGCCTTTCAAAATACTCATCATCAATACGAAACAAAATGTCTATTATGCAGGTGAATAAGAAAATCTTGAATTATATGAGCAGCTGGATTGAACAAAACATCACCCTTTTATAATCAGATTAGAAATAAATATACGCTTGAATGGTTGAAAGGTGAATGTATATTAGATCATTGAAACATACATAGACATACATTTAAATGAGGAAAAGACAAAAAAAAAAGGAAATTGATTTTGACTATCTTTTAGTAGAATGTTTTATAACAGAATGATGAATAGGTGATGATAAAGAAACATCGAATAAAGAAAGATTATTATTTGAATCATGTCCGTGACTTGTTGTTGGAGGATTTTTATTATATAAATAATATGAATATGGATTATTTGTATTATTTGTATCAATTAAATAATTTTCATGTGTGTGCTGTTGTTGTTGTTGTTGAAGATGATGATGTTGTTGATAATTTTGTTCGTTTATTATTGGTGATGTACGATGATTAGTATAATAACGATTGCTTGTATCTTGATAATAAACAGCATGATATGGTGTTAAACTATTATGATATTGTTGCTGTAATGCAGCTGCATAGTAATTTGAATATGTTCCACTATATGGATTTGTTTCATTTACTAATAATAAATCATTTGGATTATTTGTATTTGTTGTATAATTAGTTGTTGCTGCTTCAATAAAACTTGCTGCTGTGACATCAGTTGGATATGATGAAACATAGGCTGATGGATAAGAATTATAATAGGGATCAAATGATGATGATGTTGATGATGTTGATGAAGAATTTGATGCAAATGGATTTATTGTTTGCTGTTTGGTTGTTGTTTTGGAAATCTTCTTTGTTGCACGTACACCATTATTATTAGTAGTAGTATTAGTATTGTTATTGTTATTGTTATTATTTATGATTGATACAGATAAATTTGTATTGGAATTTTTAA